TTAGTCACTTAAAAACAGTAACAATATAGGGTTTATCCACTTTTTGTTTTGTAGAGAGAGTTATAAAACACATGGAGGTCTTAAACGCAAAAAGAGGTAAAAAAATCATGTTTTTGCATAAAAATACTGAAAAATAAACACGTTTCCTGAAGTCAACTCTAGACAAAAATTTTTCACACGTAAACTGACAAGTTTTACGACATTGTAAAAGGAATTATCTGATACCCACTAAACAAAAGCCTACAAAAGCTATGTTGTTGAGATTGTAAAGCTGGCTGGAGCGTTCAAATCAGTCTTCCCCGGGTGAGCGAGTTAAAAATAATCTTGACGGGAGACTTACACACTCCCTGTGTGAGACCTACTAAGCCAGATTAACCCTTTGTATTCTAAATCTAATCATGCACTCCCCCTATTTTATGGTCTACCTTCACGAGGTTAGGCTTTAGCCCAGAATTGTTTTGAACATTAGGCCTACTTCAGATTAAGTCTGGTGTAATAGCTAAAAGTGACTGGTGGGATTTGAACCCGAGACCTCGGAACTGAAGCCCTGCGCTCGACCCCTATTACCACTTTGTTCCTATATAGTTGCTAATCACCGTTTTAATACTTGGATCTAACTGACATCAAACGGAATAAAATCTAAATACGTAGTTTCAAGTCCAAAATACACTTTCATTTTCCAGGGACGTTTAACAACAATTTCTGGACTGAAATTACCATTGTGAATATCACATTGTTGCTGCAATTGCGAGTGACAAAATGTTGCCACGATCGCTGGAGGTGATCAACAAGTTATTGCCATACTGGCAAGTGAATTCAAAAATCAAATAATTAGTTCTATAATTTTAAATAATAGTTATTATGATAATTTTTTTAGAAAATATAAGAGTGAAAATTTAAAAACGTACGTTTTCAGGAAAAGCACTTTTAAAATTTCTTGTTCCGTTTTTTGAAACTTTTTTTATTTTTTTAATTTCATTGACATTTGAAGTTTCATAAAATGTCCATGGTAACGCAATATCTTTGGTGATTTTTTATTAATAGAGCATCTTTGATGGAAAAACACGAAATTATGTCACGACCATCACGGACATCAAACTGAATATTAAAAATAGTTAATATTATTTTTGTAACTATGTTTTGTTATTAATTAATTTATTTTTATGACCATCATACAATAAACAGCTCACTAAGCTTTTGGTATATATGGTATTTCTAGAAAAAAATAAAAAAACTCAAAAAGTTGAAAAAAAGCCAATAAAATCTTTTTAAGTTTGTATAACTCCGAAAAAACTTACCTGAGACCCGAAAAATCGTTATGTTTTTATAGAGGTGTACTTCTTTTGTGTATAAAACATTGAAATATGATGATATTTTAATTTTTGAAATTTTTATGATAGAAATCATCAACGTGATGGTCAGGGACAAGCGGTACGGTCGTGAATTGTCTGAAAAAAATTAAATCTTTGTAAACAATCCTTCAACTATACTGTTAGTTATAGTAAAAATATGTGTTTCAATTGAACTAAACTGTTCAATTTACAATGATATTTAAGTTATTGTCACGACCAAACACAGTATAATCCATAAGGCTGGATTGGTCGTGAAAAAACCCACGATGGTCGTGAAACTTTGGTCGGGACATTACGTGTTATTTGGCTCTGTTCTGGCGGTAGCCCTGCACCTCATGTTCGAGGATACAAAGTGGACTTCTAGGTTAATGTAGCAATATTAATATCATATCAATAAAAATTAACCCCACGTCTACTTCATCAAATGACTATGTATGGTCATGGACACACCAAAATTACAAAAAACACAAAATTACCTTTATTAATCTTGTAACTACTTCTTTCAACACAAAACAACCGGCACAACAAACTTGACGTACACCCCGAACTAGTCTCTAAAACGAACTGACGCAATCGACGCCAGGCTTGCCACTGTCGTGCTCCAAAGTTGAAAATTTTTCCCAAATGGTCGTGACGCCAAATCGAGGGACAGACTTATTTTGTCATGGTAGTCAGTTTGCAATGACACTAAAATTATAATATGCTCCTTTTTTGTAAGTTTAATAACTATTGATGACATAAAAATATGGCTTGATATATTTCGGCATAAATAATTAGTCTAAAAACAGCGTGAAAGTTGGAAAATGTACCCTAGGGACACATCATGGTCGTGAATTTCGAGACTTTAAAAATACGAAAAAAATACCTAGAACCTATTTAAAACCAAATAAATGTGTGTAACATGTTGCCCCCGTCCCAAAAAATATTAAAATACATAATAATAAACTACAAATCCAGTATCTACGAAGTAAAAGGCCAGGGACATGAAAACGTACGTTTTTAAATTTTCACTCATAATTTAGATTCGAGATCAGGGGCCCATTTCATGATAAACTATTATGGCCTACAAGTTACAACTGTTGTATGTAACTGTAACAGTGTAACAGTATGTATAGCAGAATTCGTAAGATTACAAAACAAATCTTCAATTTATTTAAACTAGAAAAGATGTGCAGTGTTTGGCTGTATGATTTCAGCTCTGATTCGTCGTTCTCCGGGCTCAGGCCAAACCGTGTGCACGTTTCCATTTGTTAATATGTTGTGTTATTGATTTAATCATTATTTTACAATTGTATTTCATTGCACATCAGAAGCAACTAATATACGACTCCAACGGAAGGAAAACCAAGATATAAAACAAGAAACACTGTTCATTTTTTTAAGTAACATAAAATTGATAATTTTAAAAACATATTTTGAATATTTGTCTTTTTATATATGTTTTTTTTTTATATTTTAGTCTAAATTAGGGGCTATGGCCCCTACAGGCCACTAGTAAACTAATACTAAAGTAAGAGTACAAAAAATTGCAACAATTACATATTTGTTTGTTCAAAACTCCATGCATAGAAAAAAACCACACTTGCAGAACTCATAAAAGAACATACAGGTTTTCAGTAAGTTAAAAAAACTCATGGATTGATTAAAGTTGGTTAGCCAATAGAAACCCCCTCAACTTCTTTTGGAATTTAGTGATTGGTGACTCAAATTAAAACCCCATCAAATGACACCTTGGTCCCCTTCTTAGGACCACAACTGGCATCAAGCAAGAAACTAAAAGTTATTAAAAGTAAACTATACTACTTCCTTTAAAGAAAATTTGAATATATTGTAAAAATAATACAAATGAGGAGTAACTTAGCCTATTTAATGCATCATCATACCTGGGGCGTTTTCAAAATACACAAAATCTATGAGAAAACAAGCTCCTAACATTACGGCTTTCATTCCTACGTCCAAATCCACTGGGAAATAAATTCCAGTAAAATCTGCATCAGTGAAAATTTCCCTCAGATTACCACCCCACTCTTTGGTGACTTCCCCTACTTCTGTCATCCCATCTCGGTCCAGCACAGTGAACGTGACATGTCGTCTGCAGCATCCTATTGTACAGATAGGACCTTTGATGAGCATCACAGTTTCCCCGACAGAATTCCTTATAACGAAATACGGCTTCCAAAGAGACCATTGTTGAACCACGGTTCCCGCTAGATATCCTGGTGGAGCGTAAACCTGCAATTTCTGTAAACAACAAGGGAAGCAGCATATATCACAAGCTAGTGAGCGCTGAAAGCGGATAACTTCGATTCCAAAAGTGTCTGTGATAGATATTACAAATGGTCGGATCTGTCGGCAGCAGTTTTGGGTGCAGCAGTTTGAGTGCTCTCGAGCGCTGAACACTTTCTGCTCTTGGTTGTTGAAGATTTCGTATTTATTTCGAGTCTCAAATCCAATCATTCCAGCTTCAAATGCCTCTGATTTGTGGTGGATAAAGAGTTTGTCTAGGTCAAGAAGAATTTCCAAACCTAAAGGGCTATTGGGGATAATTGAGTGTGGTGACGGTTTTCTAGAGTCTCTTATATTTAGCTTAAGGGATTCTGCATCTTCATTTTCATTTCGTTTATAGCTCGTAGAAGCTCTCTGAACACTCATGAGATGATTCCTTTAGAGATTCTTTTTATTTGTTTATTTCATTTATTTATTTACAATCATCACACCAAATGAGTTTGCTGGACAGGTGATTTGTAGAGATGTAAGTTAAAAAATAGCAACTTATTTTTTAGATCATTATTTTTATACAGTACTTCAGATTCTTGTAAAATTGCACTTATACGTAAAGTTTATATATTTATTATTTTGCAAAAATTAAAAATACTGCTGCAAAATATATTGGATTATACCTTTAGATAATAGATAAAAGTAGATAAGAACTCTCTTGTAGCTGCTATTAGGAAAGGTGCCAATGGCAAAACGTAACCATACATGTCTCAGTTTTTCCATTAGAAATTTATTTCCTAAAGCAACGTTTCCACAGAATTAAGAAGTTTTAAAAATAGTTTACAAAAATCCAAAGAACACTGGAGATTTAGAATTTTCAACAGTTTGTCAGTGTTTTTAACAGTGATTAATTGTTTTTTAGTCTTGTCCACACCGTTGGCATTTTTTAGAGGGACAAAAGAGAGTGTGTTATTAAAAAAACCATATGTTATTTCCCATAAGTATATATAGCACTTAAACTGTGGTATAAACGTGGCTTAATAAATACCATAGGTTTTAGTTTTACATGGGTTAGTTGATATGCTTATTATTTATAAAACCCCTCTAATCAATAATTAAGTTTAAAGTTCAGTTTCAATTGCAATGTTTCACAACAGGATCGCAGCACAATGTTATATTTTTCTTATTCAACTACAGTAAATCCTCCTTCTTGTATAAATCAGTTTGGTTTAAACTATAGATATTGTTATGGCACACACAGTTTTGATCATAGTTTCTAACCAAACAAGTTGAAAGTTGTTCGCCCAGTGGTTTGATACATACAGACACCATCGTTATATTTGTTAGTTTTGTATATAGCCTATTACTACAAATGCCAATTTTGCACAAGTGTGTTTTTACGGTACCCATACATTTTTTTTTTTGTTTCAGGAGCACAGCAGTTTTCCCGCAAACACCCGTTGTCATGCTGGCTGTCCACGATGCTGGTGGTGTTCGCTGGGGGAATGTTGTGCAATGGATTACTCGGTGAACCCATTCTTGCGCCTTTGAAAAACACACAACAACTCATGGTCGCCACTGTTGTCTGGTTGGTAACAATTTTTTTTCAAATCTATGTTTTTTTACTTCATTAGCTTACTCATCTTATATTCATGTATGCTAACTTCAGTTAATTCTTGTTCCAAGCCAATGATATCTGTTGTTTTGATCATTCGTGCTATTAGCATTTTTAAAGTTATTTGTAGGAGAATAATCAAAACCCTGGTTTTGTCGCAGAAGTTTTATTAGGTATTATTATTATTAATTAATCTAAGTATCTATTCTAGTTATAGTTATTTTTAAAGTGTCACCTGGTAATCAAGCTTGTTTGTGATATCAAACATGGTAGAGCTGTAGTATTTTACTTTTATTACGTGTTTATCTTCGCAGTTGTTTACATTCTGCTAGTAAAGACCTTTAATTTGATGTACATGCCAACCTATTTAAGATTTCCTTCTGACTCCTTGCGGGGGACCCCATGATATGACAGAAAATTGATAGTTATTTGAAAAAGTAGATTTTTAGGTGTGGTGATGTACCAAATCTTATTGATTTATCTGTTGTCGTTTAGAAAATATTAAGCCCGTGCGGTACTTTATATACACCCTGTATATTAATAATATACCTGCTAATGAAACAAAATTACAATTACAATTTTAAATTTTTCTAGGTATGTGGTGTTTTACACGCCTTTCGACATTGGCTACAAAGCAGCAAAGTTTTTACCTCTAAAACTTGCATTTTCTGCAATGAAAGAAATTTACAGGTGAGTGCTACATATTTGTAGACAAAGCTGATAAAAAATATGTTTAGGCTTAAAGTAAAAATTCTCTGTTAATATACTTTCTCCTTATTCCATTTATTCCCAATTGACTAATAACACAGTTGTTTTAAATTTGATAACTTTATCCTTGACTAAAATAATTAATGGAATTCTTACCAACTAGTTACATTATTTGCAATTTTTTAAATATTAGTTTCAATAAATTCTATACAGTATTTGTATGGTAGTATTAGATTTCTCATCGTTATGAAACAGCTGAAGACGATTTTATTGTAAGTTCTGTATTTATGTAGAGGTCGTGTTTTGTTTACAATTTGTTTCAATTGTTTCCCGTTATTACAGTCATTTAAAACCTCGTTTAACCAAATAATACGATCTAATCATAAACAATAACTTGTCCCCTTGTTTTATAACCAAACGGTAAAGCACAAATCAAGAAATTAACGCTATAATAATAGAAACAAAATTTCGTCGACACTAGCGCCCAGTGTGACCGTACATGAACTAGACACGAAAAACGTGCTTCAAAATTTACAATGGGATGAGAAGAGTATCGGTATGCATAATTAACTTGAGATTTAAGGATTTTTTGTCTGGTTTAAATCTTGCATCTTGTTTAAGTCATATTGCATTTCTGAAGTGTCATTTATTTATTTTTCAGGTGTAAAAAAGTTTACGACGGAGTAACACACGCAGCCAAGCTGTACCCGAATGCTTACATAATCATGATCCTCATTGGAACATTGAAAGGTACATCTTTGATTAATATATTCATATAGCTTTTTATTATTTAGCATTTTTTTATTTTGCTGTTTTAAAATTCATGATGATTCATCCTCAGGACGAATACACACAGTGCTGGAACACATTCTTGATAGAGTAAAGTAAGGTGCATATGGATTATTGCCGTTGATCACTTTAAAGAATTACCTTAAAATCCAGTTACTTTTGAGGTTTAGGAGATACAATTTGGAAACTCTGTTAAATATAAATTCAACCAGAACATAAAATAATATTTTATAGACTAGCCTGTATCGTATATCTTCAGCCTACCTAAAATTATTCAGTTGTAAAAAATCTTCGGTACAACCTTCCTATGTACTTTTGTTTATTATCATAAAATAACATTTAAAATGAAGTAAAAAGAGTATTAAAAAAAGCAACTAAGATATGTGATTCAATGGTTTTACATTCTGCTTGTTATGGCCATTGTCCTTATTTATTTTTACCAGATTTTATGTACCGTACCTAAATTGTTAACATGTGTTATTTTTTCAGGCAACGGGGCTGGTTTTACAAAACTCATCGAAAGGCTCATTCGTGGCGTTTGGACTCCTACAGCAATGGAGTTCATGCAACCAAGTTTGTAAGTAAAAACATATAAACTCCTAAAAACAAAAATTTTTCAAAATCAAAACCTTTTTTCAAGTATTTTATACTTGGCTGTAGGTATGAGCATCGATAGCCGATGCTTTCAAAACAGCGATGTTTTTCTATTGATGCTCTACGTTTTAGCTAAGACAGTAGGTTACTGATGTTTTTGTTGAGACCAGCACAGTGAACGTGACAGATCGTCGCCTTTTTAAAAAGGGTCGACACCCATGGCCCCCACAAGGGTGGGGCTGGCGCAACTCTGGTCACAGGGCCCGGGCCCTCAGGGGGCCCAGGCCTACCCGTTTTTTTTTTGTTTTTTTTCCATCGAAGATTACAGCAGATTATAAATTGAAGATAAAAAATAGTATATATATAAAAAAAAATAAAGTTAAATAATTTAAAATGTATTAATTCTAGATTCTATGATATAGTTTATATTTAAATACTATAGGTGCGTAGGTGCGTATGTAATGTACTATACAATAGCAGAACAGCCAGCTATCTAGGTTATTTGACACAAACTAAAAAATTCTTTACTTTTGAAGTTTAATAAATATGAAAGATTGTAATAATTTTTGACCTAAATTTTCTTCTCAATTCGCTCGGTATAATTTTTTTTTTGTTTTTCTCCGTGACTAATCGCGCAAGATCGGTAGCTCAGGCATCCACTCCCAAAAAATGTAGTATTGTTGCTTGATGAAAATTGACACTGAATAAAATATGATATCATTGGTGTAAGCTGTTAAACTCGATTTACGAAAGTTTTTTTCCTACTCCATATTACAAAGTACAATTATAGCAGTTAAGATAGCCAAACGCTTTTACAGGGAAATAAAAAAGACAAAATATTAATAGGCATGGAGCTTTTGTGTATTGATATAATAGTTTTAATTGTTGAATTCCTGTAAGGCTTATAAAACTCATTGAAGAACTCTTTTCTTCCTTAAAAAAGGCTGCAAAAGTGCCATTTACCATACTCACAAATTTAATACCTAGATTGCCTTAAAAACTCACTAAAATACATGACATTTTCAAAAATTTTTTAAATTTTTTGAATTACCGTACAGTTTCCCCGGACCCCCCTCTAAGTTGGGGGGTATTCCATACCCCCCACACCCCCCGGTTGGTAGGGGGGCCCGAGCCAGATCCTGGTAACAGGGCCCACAATTAAATGTGGGGGCCATGTCGACACCACATGAAACCCGTTATGTTATGGTCAACAGTAGTGTTCTATCACTGATTAGTGTTTTTGAGAGCATTGCTTCACATATTCAATATCCTAGATATTTCTGTTAAGAATGTTGTTTGTTTCAGCCCCACCAAGGCCTGTATTGTAGCGTCCATAATCTTTGTGTTGGACAAGAAAACAGACTTTATCTCTGCGCCTCACGCCCTCGTGTACTTCGGTATCGTTATCTTCTTCGTTTACTTTAAGGTAATCCTCCCACTTCACAAGCATAATTAACTACTTGCTTGCCTACTTGTTTTAAAATGCTTATTGGATGGCTGATTATTATTTACACATAAAGTAGAACCTTAGTTTGATGACAAATTTGGTTCAACTTTAGTGCTTTTGGTTCAATTCAACCATCTTCATACAAGGAATAGATTTAACATCACTTCATCTAAAAGTTGTTAACAAGAACAAAGTTTGATAAAATGAAGCACACACAAAACAGATACATCATTAACCAAATACTTACTTAAAAACGAAGAAGACATAAAAAACTGAACGACACGACCATGTTGAACAGGAAGTTTGAACTGCCTCATTCATTCAGCAGTGTTTATTCTTCTTGCTCTATGATATGTTGCAGTTATCCTCCATACTACTGGGGATCCATGATCCGTTTGTGCCGTTCGAAAACCTCTTCTGCGCTCTGTTCATGGGTGGCATCTGGGATTCACTGGCTAAGGTGCTCGGCCGTGGCGGAGCCAAAGAGGAGAAGGCCGACGCTAAAAAGAAAGACTAAACCGACAACCTCGTAAGTCACCCATTCTTTATTTTACACATGAAACTTTTTTCTAGTACCGTACCTTTATTGCTGTTATATATAGATTTTTTTTATAGCATGCTTAACTGAGTGGGAAAGAGACAAATCCACAAACAACTTGTACAAAAAATTTTTTTTGGTTGCTTTCAACTGTCTGGAATTCTTTTATGAAGTTAAGTATACAGGGTGAGTTTTAAATGAGTTCCCCCCCTACTTTTTCTACATTTATTAAGATATCAACTCCGGACCACGTCAGATCATTGTAGAGTAGTAAGTACTTCATTTTGACTGGGTATAAATTTTTGGCCGCCATCTTGGATCCGCCATATTGGATACAAAGTTTTTTTTTCAAATGTAAAGGTAGGGTTGTGACCCATCGTTTTAAACTACATTTTTATGCTGAATACGATGCTGCAATCCGTTTTTAAAAATCTTGATCCATTCTAAAGTTATGAGAACTTTTTATAACATTATTTTTAGCCCATTTTAACATTGTGCATTTAGAAACTAAGAACATAATCGCAAAATAGTGCTAGATAAAGATAAGTATACACCACATAATATACATAAATCTTTTTCTAGCACTATGATTATGTTCTTAGTTTCTAAATGCACAACGTTAAAATGGGCTAAAAATAATGTTATAAAACGTTCTCATAACTTTAGAATGGATCAAGATTTTTAAAAACGGATTGCAGCATCGTATTCAGCATAAAAATGTAGTTTAAAACGATGGGTCACAACCCTACCTTTACATTTGAAAAAAAAACTTTGTATCCAATATGGCGGATCCAAGATGGCGGCCAAAAATTTATACCCAGTCAAAATGAAGTACTTACTACTCTACAATGATCTGACGTGGTCCGGAGTTGATATCTTAAGAAATGTAGAAAAAAGTAGGGGGGGAACTCATTTAAAACTCACCCTGTATAAATAAGAGCACAAGTGCCTAGGTTTTAAGTCACTTTGTTAGGGTCGTAGGTTTATCTGAATGGGAAATAGTCAACTCTAGCATTCATATTACATAGTTTTGTGCTGTTTTAAAACTATTTTTATTTACTACAGTAGTTTAACTAACATAATTTTGCAAATTTGTTTCAGACCCTTGTATCACCAGGCAGGCCACTCCCAGTCGAACTTCGAAACGAAACCGACACAGACTGAAAATATCTGTGAAAACAATTCAGTGCCTCAACAAGTATCTCGGTGTTATTTTATCAAAATGATTCTCAAGTTTTAAAATTAAATTTAGTACACAAACCAAAGATTTACGTTAGTTTATCACGACAGCGTTTGAAGTGAATATCCTCTCAGTGGGTGCAGACGGAACACACTTCAGCGCTGTTTTGAATTGTATATTAATGTATATGACTAATTTTAACATTTTATATGACAAAACAATGTAAGATATTTTATTTATTGCCAACCATGATATTTGTATTCTTATGTGTTATAAAGTTTTACCTTTAGTTTTAACTTGTGTTTTGTTTAATTTTTACCCTATTAAAAACCTTATACAGGGTATCCTTCAAGCCTTCAAGTAAATTATCAAAACTCCACAAAATGGTTTTATGAGTCACAGCATACTGTATAAATTCTTTGGTTATAAAATGGCATATATCCGATTTGATAACAAAGTAACAAAGTGTTGAAAAAATTAAAGTCATACTTGATTTCTCTTTGTTTTGACCAAGAGGCGTTTGCTCGGATTCAATAAAACATTTATTATTATTGAAGTTATTGAATCAAAACTTTTACAAACCCTCTCATTGCCCCAAAATACCCCAGTAGCATTTGGATAATTTCGTTGTTTATCTTTACAGTTTCATCATTAAGTGTAGCAAGGAAAGTATCGTATTTCAAATTTTCTAATATTGTCCATTATAAACGTGGGTGCATATCTCTCATCCCCCAACATGGCGAATTTAGGTTTGAGGAATTTCAGACTTCACTGCGCTAACGTTCTTCCAAACGTGGAGCAGCGATTCGTCGACTCTTCTGCTCAAATTAATGATCAGCCTGGTTATCATATTGCTCGGACATAAGATCTTAAATTATTTCACCACTTTCATTCTTCAATGCGCCACTTGGCCGAGGTTCTGAGACATGATATGTGCGAGCTGGTTGGATCTGGTTCGGTTTTAGACGAAGTGGTAAAATTTGTTTCTCAATGATCGATTGTAGCTTCTCCCTTACAGATTATGTAAATATTTGCTCTTTGGAGGTCTTCCGCGTTTAATTTTTAATCTTGAAAATTTACCTTTAAAACATTGAACACTAATATGTACCTAATAAACATACTAAATACAACTATTCTTTAAAATGTTTAGTCACTAACCAGTACAGTTATTTTGGTTTACACGTCAAATCAATGACAATAAAATAACCTGTAACAGCTGTTTTTGTTAACTGAAGCCACAAAAAGGTGTTGCTGATAACATGGGCAATTTCAAGGGCTGTAGTAGTTAAACCGGATTTTCCCAGCATTGTGACCAGCTCCAATTGATTTCTCGTGGCCAAATACCCCACACTCATAAAAAAATCAAAAATCCTCGGAAGAAGATAAAAGTTTGCCTGTACACGATGTTTTAGACTATAGGATAGGATACTCGGAGTAAATAATTCCTTATTTCTGGCAAGGGTAGAAAGAACTATACATTGTTAAATTAAGACAAAATAAACTAAATTGCCAGGGATACGGGAGTTAATAAATAACTACCGCAGTTACTTAAAGATTTTTAAATCTTACACAAATATTTTATTTTGAAATAAACATACATAAAATTAATTAAAAAATAGTTGATATATCTTAAACAATCATAAGGAAATAAAATAATCATAATTTATATCCATCAATGGAATTCAGCCTTTTCAAAAGTCATGAGCTTAAAAATATTTAGAACTTTTTAAAACAACAATAGTATTTAAAATATCACAATTTTTAGCTATTTTAAATAGCTTAGTTAAAAATATATTAAGCTATGTAATCTCAAAAGTTGCAAAATATATTTGTATTAGTACAAAATTGTATTTTTTATGAATGATACACGCATGCAGAAGGAGATTATTTACAATTATTTGATAAGGTTATTCTTTACTATAACCTATTAATTTCATATAAGATATTGAAACTTACACTCCTCGGCCTTAAATTGCATCTGCAAAAGGAGAGCAGGACATAAAAATAATACTAGGTGGAGACAATTCAAATTCAGGCCTTCATGTGTTTGGCTGTATTAACACAACAATTGCATTTTCTCTAAAAAGAAAAAAAAAGAAAATAAATAAAGGACAAAAGTACTATCTTCCTCAATAATTTAAAACTTTGAAAAAGTCTGAATAGTTTAAAAGGCTTCAAACAAATCATTATCCACACAACATTTCAGTTCATGAACAATGCATACTTTTTATCTGATTTATTTTCAATCATGAACGTTTATTTACTGTTTGTGTGTGCATTAATTTTATTTATGACAATAACAAATGTTCACCATTGAAACTGATCGGAAAAATAATAGTGACTGATGAGGATGACGGTAAAAAGTTACTTTTAAGTTAATTTGTTTTTAACTTTTTGAAATGTCATACTTGTTTATTTGTTTTGTTTTTGGTGTATTTATTTTTGTTGTTAAAAGAGAATGATATTGAGAATGGTTTAATTACTATGTAATGTTAACCTTTTGGTAATTAGCAGCATTAGTGGCATTTTTACATCATTGATTGATAGTCCAGAGTAAAAATACCCCCACCGCAGCAAACCGGCCGACTGAGCAAATTTCCATTTGCCAGTATTGATTTTTAATTATTTAAATAACATTAGGTTTAATTAGTACCTAGGTTTGCTGCTACAATGAAACTAATAAAGCGTGTTTTTAAGTAAAATATTAATTGCTTAGTGTAAGATAAATAAATTTGCCAAGTTTGATCAAAATATATCCATAAACAAGAAAACTACATTTTACAATATTCTCCATAAAATAACATGGGAATTTTAAATTTACAATTTTTAAAATTTTCTCTGTTATCAATAACCGTACAAAAACACTTTCATGTACTATTTTTTTTATCTCTTTAAAAAGGTCCAAAGAGAAATTGGGAAATTTTGTGTTTTGAGAGTCAAAAATGAGAAAAACCAATTTTTTACCCCATAAAACCCCGTTTCCATGGTCCGATGATGCTGGTTCGTGAACTCATTCAAGTTTATCCCGCCTTACACCTTTAAAACCAAATTTCATCAAAATCGGACAAAACCTCTTGGGACATCAAAATGAAAAAGTAAATCGGTCCCGGGCCTAAGTCTTTCCGTGCCACCTACGGTAAGGTAATAGCATAGATAAAACATACTCCCTTAGTAGATTTCTCATCCTAATGGAACAGCTGAAGACAATTTTATTGTTAGTTCTGTACGGTTTATGTATAGGTCGTGTTTTGTTTACAATTTGTTTCCCGTTAATACAGTAATTTAAAACCTCGTTTAACCAAATAATACGATCTAATCATAAACAATAAATTGTCCCCTAGTTATTTAACCAAACAGTAAAGCACAAATCATGAAATTAACCCTAAAATAATAGAAACAAAATTTCGTCGACACTAGCGCCCAGTGAGGCGTACATGAACTAGACATGAAAAACGAGCTTCAAAATTTACAATGGGATGAGAAGTCTACTTGTGTTGGTTAGTCTATGGTAATAGCTACTTCTTTATAGGGAAATTTGCTAAAAGCACACTAACTTTAACAAACTAATGAAAAAAAATCTGAATCTAGAAACAATCTCGTTTGGAATCAAAAATTCAATAAAAACTAGGTGAAACCCGTCGAAATCGACGGTTACTGTCAAGGCTTACGCTAATTCATCCACGGAGAGTTATGTGTAGTGGAATATACTTGAAGTGAAGTTTGTTTTTATTCTTGGACTGTTAGGGACCTCCTCGTTTATATGGCTGTGCTTCTTCATTGGCAACAAATAATGCAAAGGACACAGCAATGCGGCATTTCCAAAAAGCAAAAAAATACTGAAAATTGGCTTTTATGTAAATATTGACGTTTACATACATTGTTAAACAACGTAATAAAAGATTATGTGATCTGGTTTAAAAAGAATAGGCTATGACCTTTCTGTCATGGCAGTAGCTGCTTAAATAGTATTTACTCTTTGTGCCTTTTTTACAGACAAAATGTCGTGTTATTTTCCAATTAAATATTTAGATTACCCCATGTTATTCTTATGGGAGAAAACCCAACTTTGATGGAAGATTCTGCCGAATCTAATTAAAATATCAAAAAACTAAAAACACTTTGCAAAACAACAGATCAGGGCAATTCTTTTGACACTTTAATCATCAAAATCGGTCCAAAAATAAGGGAGGAGTTCTGATTACAAAAATCTGCTTAGCGTATTATATATATATACTAGCTGACCCGGCGAACTTCGTATCGCCTAAGTTATAGGTTTCCCCTAAGACAGACCGATGGAAAGAAAGTACCGTTACGTTTAATTTTCAAGATGATCTCGTTCGCATCGCTCAATCACGTCCTGGTTGAAGTTCGTTCGCTACGCTCACTCACCTTTGGGTTGGAGCTCGTTCGCTACGCTCACTCACCTTTAGGTTGGAGCTCGTTCGCTGCGCTCACTCACCTTTGGGTTGGAGCTCGTTCGCTACGCTCACTCACCTTTAGGTTGGAGCTCGTTCGCTGCGCTCACTTGCCTTCAGGTTAGCTCGTTCGCTACGCTCACTCGCCTCCAGGTTGAAGTTCGTTCACTACGCTCACTCACCTTTTGGTTGCAAATTAGCTGTTGTCATAAATGTAAAAGAAATAATAGTGCTGCACCCTGTTGGTAATCCTTGTAACTTTAATGCTAGAGAACATCATAGAACAGAACCAACTTGTTTAATTGAAACAGCTGTTAAGATTCATTAATTCCATTTCTCATAAGGTTAACATGGGAAACTCCAGAGCCACTGGGGCGGAGCCCTTTTAAGAATTTCGAAACGGGAAATAGTTTACGTCCGATTCGCATACCTACAGAATTTACACACCAAATTTCATAACGATCGGTGAAGTCGTTCCGGAGGAGTTTGCTGACAAACACTGTGACACGAGAATTTTATATATTAGATATAGAAGATTCTTTGAACTTCAGGCATTTTCCGATCTTCCAACAAAACTGTTTAACTTGGTCTTAACCTACTGAATATAACTAACATTAATATTTACTCCCAAAAAGCTAATAAGTTTCTTTTTATAAACAGCTGTTTTTGTTTTTAAATTTGTTCCATGTATTTCTTATGAGGAAAACCCGACATTTAAGAGGGTCTCACGCCCTTAAGAGTATAAATTTCAAAATTCTGAAACCTTATTGCAAAACTACATATTGAGACGAATCTTTTGACTCCTTAAACGTTGAAATTAGTCCACAAATAAGGGAGGAGTTGCGTTAACAAAATACGGCTTCACGTATTATATATATAGATTTTTTGTAATAATTTAAAACACACTGAATAGAATATTTAATCAAGTTGGATCAAATTAATTTGTGTTTTAATAAAAAAAGATTAATATTTAACTTTATCACATTACACAAGACATTGATAATTGATAAATAATAAAAAAAAAAACTTTGAACAATCCTCAGGAACAAATTACATTAAATTAAGATTTATAAAAAAGTTAAAAAAATCTTATATCAAAACCATATTTGGATTTCAACTTGAAGCAGAAATTGCGAGTTTCCGTTCAAAGTTGCTCATCCACTTAGCGAGTGGACGTTCAAGCTCGGTGTTTTGTCGTGCGTGTGAGATGATTGGTCGTAGCGGAGTGTCGAGGCGCGCAGCGCAGCAAGACGCAGCCAAGACAGCCCAGGCCTCGCCAATGTGAGGGTATAAGTGGACGGCTCGCTTACTTGCGACAAGAGCTCTGGGAACGTCCCCTCCTTGCAGATAGCTTAAACTGACCAACGCCATCACCTACAAAAGGTATTAAATTTTGTAGTCAAATGAACCTCTTCATATTCTCTTATCTGTTCTATTGTGTCCTACCTTCACATCCTGGGGCAATAGACTCTAGTCCAATAAACACTATCACAATTTCCTTTACAAAACTCAATTTTCAAAGGAACTCTCTCCTTCTAAATGTCCTAACCAACTCAGTCTAGCTTTTCTACTCTACCTTTCAAACCCTCAACTATCCCTCTTCCTCAATCTTAACTCTTACTACTTCCAGAATTATCAATATCAATTCTCTAAAACACCAATGCACAATTGTGTCCGTATTAGCTGAATAGGAAGGCAAGTGTAAAATGGAGTCAGATAATCTGTGTAGCGTTGTAACTGACTAAGATCAGCTGTTTCATTAGTCATCATGTATTAAAAGCCCAATGATCAGGCACAGCTGGGGGTTGTATCTTACCTTAGACACGTCCATGTAGGAGTGACCGAGTGTGATGGCGGTTTGAGCGCACCGCGCGGCACCACTCAACCTGCGCAGAGGGTCAGCACTAACACTGTGCTTCTGTAGTATCAGAAGTGTGAGATGCAGCCATAACGCAGGTTGCTGAGGCTGCTGATGGAGAGCCTTACTCATACTGCTCACCGAGCCAGCAACGTCACCCTGTGGACCAAGAGTTGAGTTTGAACATCTAACGTTGCTCATAGGAACGAAAAAGTATCCAAAACAAAAATAATGGACGACAGTTTCATAACAATATGTCTGGGTAAGTGGTTTTAGTGCTTGCCTTCAAATCTGAAGGTCGCTTGTTCAATTCCAGGCAAGATTGTTACCAGACCCAGATGCCAGATGAGAATTATCAAGGAGAACCAAATCAAAACTCTACAGTAGACTCCCTCTTATCCGGTCACCTTTTAACTGGAGATCAGTTTAACCGGACTACACTCGGCGGATATGACATCTCTTTAACCGGACAATTTTCATCAGCACATTGGTTTAAACGGACTAGATTGGCAGGAAGTGGGCAGTACTGAAACGACTGTTCTCGTGGAAAGATTTGAGACCAGTGATCACGTGTCTAAATACAATGCTCTCCTAAAATTTAAGTTGAATATCACAGTAAACAGCCCGTTTTAACAAGTTTTTGGGGACGTTGGTTTAACCGGAAAACGCGTTATCCGGACTGGCCTTGGTCCCAAGGAGTCCGGATAAGAGGGTGTCTACTGTATGTTATCTAACAAAAAGTTGACGATAGATAGTGGACAGTTTCCCTTACAAAAAACAAAAAAGTATAGAAACATTGAAAAAATCATCAAAAAGTAATGAACACGACTATTTATATCCAATAATGTATTGTTTAGCCCCTTACTCGCAACTGGATTTATTGCTTTTAAACAGTTGACTCATCTTGTAATACAGTGTTCACAATTTTCTTCTTTCATTTAACAAGAACAGGATATTTAAAAAGAGTCCACACTAACTAAATTATTGTCAATTTGCACACATTAAAATCCAGTAAAATCCTACAAACAAAGGCAGCTTATAATCTGCAGTCCAGATTTTTTTCGCTAACCAGCAAATAACTTGTGCACAAGTTACATAGAACATTAACCAAGCCACCATGAAGACAAACAATAGCACTCAGTAATTTCAATAGTTTGATATCTCAAACTCTGCACCTTACCAGTCTGTATTACACAATTTTTTTGGATTGTACTGTAGTAGAAAAACAAAATTCCTACTTTGTTGTCACTACTCTCGATAATTTACACCAACGCAAGCTTCTCAAACATATTACCTGAATAAACTTGATGTAAGCTTGAAACAGAGCAACATGTGAAGTATAATGCTCTTCGTTCTGGTATTTGAGCATTTCCTTCAGCATCAACTTGCTCAATTCCATGTCTCCTTTGAGCATTCCCAGGGAACAAGCGGCAAACAATCCATATACAGATTGTGGCTTTAATTGATTACTGGAAAAGATAGGACATACATTAGTTGAATTTGTCTATAAGCCCAAGGTAATAAAAGTAGTTTTTGTATATTTTATTAAATATAAAAGATTAATTTTAATGAGAAAACTAATAAAATACAAAACCATTGTTTTGTTAAATAATATTTAAAAAATAGATACATAAACCACTTGCTGGAGCTCAAACCAAAAATTTTTTCTAGTGGTAGTTTTTTTTATTAGAGTACAACTAAATAATCATTTTGTGATTGCTAACCCTATGAACTATAAACACCAGTGATTCAATAATTTCATTATACAGTAAACCTTTAATAGTTTGACACTCCTTGTAGTTCGACACGGGCTGAGGCTACCCGTCTAAACATTAGCAATCAATATTTTGTTTTGACACATACGCTGGTCAATGACCGGGACCAGTTCTTTCCAGTTATCAGAGTGAAAAACAATCGAAGATCACAAAATATTTTGTCAAGTGATATTTAATGGTTACTATTGTGATGGAAGTTGACTTGAACATTAATTTATCTATTATTGACTTGAGACTAATGAACAGTGAAATTGTTAAGTTTTTAGTATTCAATAAATTCGGGTGATTTCTATATAAAACTTTTTCGATAGTTAGACACCCCTTAGGTCAGAAAGTGTTGAACTATCGAGGTTCTACTGTACCTATTTTGATAAAGTTTTCCCCTCAACTTATGGTCAAAAAATCTAGGTTATCAGATCTAAAAGTATACTGCACATTACCCCCAGATTTCTTTTAACTTCATCCACTTCACAGTGCATGTTTTTATTACACCACAATTCTCCGATCATAGTTTCAATTTTTCTTTTTACTGCAACTAGCCTACGAGTAATAAAGGAATTAGGGAGCATCACAGCTTGCTTACCCTTGAAGCAGCAAAGCTTTAGCTTTGTCAGGCCCGGCCAGTTTGTAGACGACAGCCGCCAGCGCGACATGTAAATGTGCCTTGGTCTCGTCGTCCGCAGCCCACCAGTTCAGTGCAGCTTCGTACGCCTCATAAGCCTCCTGGTATTGCTTGCCTGGACAAACAAACGCACAACTGGATATACGAGTATTTATGTTGTTTAAGGGATTATTGCAGACATTGAACGTTTTTCCCAATACAGGTAAAAACGTTCAATGTTTTGGATTCAAAAATCTGACCCCGCTCTCTAAGGTGGAAAAAGTATATAAAATAACAAGATTAGAACACACAGTATAGTAATTACTAATCAGAACAAGAAAAAGTCCTTAATTAGATAAAATTTCTTTCAGTTTGGATTGCAAAGTTAACATTTTATTATTTCCTTATTTTATTGTTACCCTAACCAGGCAATTTCATGTTTAGGTTTTGAGATATGGGATTTGATTTTTTAATCCCCTTCCCCAGTGTAATTTTTATTAATTTTTAATAAACATTGCTGCAAAATGCCAGAAAACCAACCCACACCACATACAAAATGACTACCAGGAGGTTCGGTTTCATTTTTCAGATTCAAAATTTCTGGTTTCAACCATCCTAGGAGGTTCAGTTTTTAACCAAATTGCTACTTTTTCTCAGGATGAATCGGCAACATTCAGATTACTAAGGGAGTACCGAAGCCACTCGGCTACCCAGCAACTGAGGGCTTGACACCTACCTTTGTAAAGAGCTAGGGAAAGACCACACTGAGAATGAATGTCGAACTTGCCAATTCCTCGGTAAACCTGCACTGCATCTTCCGTCTTGCCAGCCTTGAGTAGTACTCGGGCAAAGTTAGCCATCACCTAAAGAACAAACAGGGACCAGATAGGGTGATTGATACAAATTATTACCGAGGAAAGAACAAAAGCCATACTATCTTGACACAAAAAAATCTGGATAGTGTCCCACAACTTTGTCTCAAAGGTGCAAGCGTCTGCGTAGGCAGTCATATCAAGCCTTGCAAAAAGTGGACTGTATTCATGTTTATAAAAGTATTCAAAAATGTTTCAATAAAAGTAAGAAGTATTAAAGACACCTTGAAAACAAAATTAAAATATTTCCTTCACAAGAGGCCTTACTATTCTGATAAAGAATTATTCAATTATTAGGGCAACAAGAAAAATGAAGACCCATCAAAGATTTCCAAATATCACGTAAGTAAGGGTATAAATACCCGGGAGAGGATAGGATACTATGAGGCCAAAGGAAATACTGTATACTAGAGGTGTGCGGATATCCGAAAAATCGGGTCGGATTCGGTTCGGTTCGGATATCCGTATCCGAACCGGGCCCAAATTCGATATCCGACACTATCCGTTATATATCCGACTTTTTCGGATAGACAATATATTTTGACGTTTTGGACAGAAAACTAAATCTCCATAGCCACCATTAGTTTCCCAGGACAAAATTACAGCAATACGTTTCCAACGACCTAACAGCAAACGGCAAAGAAGCCGTATTATGCAATACTGATAACTAGTTTAGTCGTTATCGGCTGTTTTGCTTTACAATTAGATTCGTCTGGAACGAACAGACATAAAGCAGAAAAGAACTACCATGGTCAAATGAAAGTCAACTCGTTTCCCGAAAAAAAGTCAGAATAGAAACAATAGAAAGGCAACACAATAGAAGGGTGGGAGGGGTTGGGCAATGACCTCGAAAGGAGCGCGGGTCGAGTCAAGTAGGACCGGAGGGGGAAGGGGTGGGTAAGACCTTGAAGCTATATATAGACTTGCACTACTTCCCTAAACCTAAAGGACTGGCTGGCGAGTGGTATTCCATTCACAGGACAAGATACGTTGTTTTTTGGGTATTCATTGCCCGGTTTGACTTTTGATTGTTTTACTGTGTAGAAACTTTGAATAATAAAAAATATAGTTACCACGATTATTTAGCATTGATTGTGTACATATTAAATGATTAAACTAACGGGACCATGGATATATACAAACTTTTGTCGTGATTTTAATTTCAACATCAAAATACAACATTGCACAATCGTGATATTTTAGGTCATTGACCTTTATAATGCATCCGGTATTGCTGTTTCAGAAGCGAAGCACGTTGATAAATTATAAATTGATATTCCCGTAGTTAAAAAGAATTATTTTATAAACCTATAAAACAAAATCATAAAATCTTACATAAAGATAACAATAAAAAAGGGTATAAAGATAACAACGTCGTTATTCTTTCTCTTTGTTCTTCTATTTCTTGGGTTTCCCTTCATCACGCATTCAACAAGTTGCCATGGTTACTAATCACCCATGTCGTTATCAGCTTTTGTGACATAGCGCACAGCAGGGGGGTAAAACTTGACGAAAATCGGTTAATTTTTACCTATTATTTAATTACCAATGAATGTACTACTTCATTGGTATTTGGTACTGTATTAATAATCGGTCAAAATGGCCGATTTTTGTCAAATTTTACACCAAATTTATTGAAATTTCAAGGTGAATATTATTAAAACAATTATTACCAATTATTTGTATTCATTTAAAAGATTGATTTGTGGTATTGGGTTCCCCACTGAGTGCAGCCGAGCGGCACTAATGAGGGTCGGACCTTCTTGGGGGTGAACAATAGACGGCTTATCAGACCCTCCCCCCCCCCCCCCCCCCCCGTGGTCTGGAGAAAGCTTGTAAACAAACTATTGCACAAGTGTCACTTGACATTGGGCTGCTTCAACTATAATTTTGTCAAATTAACTTTGATGTTTCAAAATCAAAAACAATAATTTGGGACCATACTGCTTAACAATAATGGACTGCAATTATTGTTGAACATACAATCCATTTTTAACAAACTAAGATTATATGATTCAAATACAATTATAAAAATTATCTTCGTATTTTACTTGGGGTAATGAAGTTATGTAGGCTAGTGTAATTCTCGGTTCATCAAGGTTCTACTGAATTATGTTTGGCAGTGAATAAGTGTAGAATGCAATTTATAAATTCAGGGATACACAGTTATAAAGTCTAATTTAATTGCCCAACATCAAATCGTGAGCTAGAGCCCATCTTAGTGCATTAGTGATGTTTTCTAAACTTGGCAAAATGCCACTTAAGGCCAATAATCCGTTCCAAAAACGTAAGGAAATACAATGTGAAAATAAACTTGAGATCGAACTCCTTGGCTTGTGAGAACCAGGAAACAAGATAAAACATAACCTCAAGTAAACAAGCCCAAACGTTTGACATCAGTCCTGCTGAGCTAAGGTGTTGTGTGAAGATTTCGGCTGCTAGTGTACTTAATTCAAGCAACCAACTTTTGAAAATAAATGTTGTGAATTGTGATTTTCAAGAAAGAGAAAACTGTGGACTTGGCTAATTTGAAATTCTATAGTTCAAAATCATCATTTAAGTTTATTTACACAGCTTTATATTGTTTTATAGTTTAAAAATACATATGCAGATTATTATTAACCACGCCGAACTATCCGAATCCGAAAATATCCGAATCCGAACCTCCCAATATCCGATCCGATCCGAACCGAGCCTCAATTATCCGATCCGAATCCGATCCGAAATGAAATTTCACTATCCGCACACCTCTACGTATACCAGAATCAGGAAATACTGTATACCAGAATCAGGAAATACTGTATACCAGAATCCTGCTAATATGAATGTCCAGCTATTCCAAACAACATGTTGGGGGAAAACTTCACTAGAGGTATTTGAATTTTAAATAAAGTTTGTGATCTGAGATACTAACAAGGGTATCCAACTGACCTATTAATGGGGAAACCCAAGGACTTTACAAGAATTCAGAGTCTGTACAATGTAATTGAATTGTGGATCCTGTGATAATTGCTAATAGCCTATGGACGACAGTCTTTTAGTGAAGTCTTCCATTGTTCTCTTTAAGTTTGTAGTGTAGTTAGATGAATGTGATCATGAGAGATGATCAATGGGTCGCTGTGATGACGGAAAAAGATCACGATGTTGCAATGATTGTGGGGAAAATACAAGACCATTAACCATCATAAAAGTAAAATGTTTGATTATTCACCCAATTTTTCTGAAGTAAACCAAACAGGGTGTGGTTTTTAGACCCTATGAACTGAGTTAAGTTGTGGTGCTACAAGTGAAAATTCGAAGTCCCAAAAATCCACCCCACAAAAAATATTGAAAAATCAAGCTTAACTTTACAAAACATGTCTAGGAAGTCTGACTTTACACTTACAAAATCAAACTATGTATACATTACCTTATCCTTGTGGTCAGCCGAGACATGTTTCACAGCTCTACTGAGTGCTTGGACAGCAGGACCATACAAGCCTTGTCTCTCCAACAGACAGCCTAGCATGTTTAGTCCGCAAGCATCGTTCTCTACTTCATCTGCAATCATTATTGCAATCTCAGGGATAAGCCTCACCTCAATATTGTGAACTGAGAGTTAGGGTCGGGTTTTAAAGACATCGTACAGTTATCAGTACCTCCTGCAATTTTGAAATTGAAACTAAATATCAAATCTCTAATTGAAATACTTTAAGATTATATTATACCCATTTATTATGAACTAATGTAAAAATAATTTTCACAAAAATCTGAATAAAGGCAGCTGGCTTAGCTTAGGAAAGTCAAAGTAGGCCATAGCACACAGAATACACGCAATATTTCTTTCCCTGGGTCTACACTTGACAAGGGACAAAATATTGTGTGTTTTCTGTGTGTCCTATAGCCTACATGTACTTGTTTTAAAGCAAGCTAGCTGCTAACCACTTAAGTTCACAATCTTGGCCTGGAGTGTACCATTTGTCAGATATAAACTACTTACCTGTAGCCCACGTGAGAACGTCAACAGCAAGAGGCACGGCGTGCATCTTCTCAATGAAGTACATAGAGTTACGATCCTTCTTGTACTCCCTGTTCTGCAGAATACGACACACATGTTCTGCGTAGCCCACACAAGACTCTGCGTTGAATCCGAGCTGCGTAGTGTGGCGAAACAGCTCGTTCGTCTCTTGGTGCTTCACATCTTCTGCTATCAGCGCCTTTAAACAACGCAAATAAACGTCTGTCATGATCACCGAGACTGCTTGGAAAATACCTAAGCATAAAGGCCAGGGTGAGTAGATAGCTCGGTTGGTAGCATGACGGATCAGGTGTTAATAACTACAGTGGCTGATTAAATTGCATTTTGTATTGTAGAATTGTATGTGGAAGATTTTGACGTGGAACACTCCTTACAAGTTGGAGACTATAAATTCAAAAGGACTGCAGAGTTTAAGTCGTCGCCCTTGACCATAGACCAAGGAAATAAAGAAGAAGTAGAGATAAACGCCAGATAATTACTGGGGAATAAATGCTATTGGGACCTTAAATCACTGCTAAAAAGTACACTTTTATTTGTCAATACAAGGAGGAACCAAATCAAAACTCTATATAAAACTATAATACAGCCAATAGCACTGTACGGATCTGAAACCTGGGCATTGGCAAAGAATAACAAAAAGAAAATACTGTAATTGTGTTTGAAAATAAAATACTAAGAACTATCTACGGTCCCATCAACAAAAATTGGGTGTGGAGAATCAGAACAAACAGAGAATCAAAGAACGGTCTATACAAACTCAGACATAATAGCACAAATAAAAAGTAGAAGACTGAGATGGGCTTGTCAAGTGAAGAGAAGAGATAAGGGTTCTACAGTCAACGGTTCTACGCTAGGAATGGTGTCTGAAAATCTCCCTCTGGGAAGATATCCACTAGGACGACCTCGGCTAAGATGACAGAACCAGGTGTGAAGAGACATAGGGAAGGTAAGAGCATAGACAGAATGGAAGACAGAGATAGGTGGAGACTTGTTGTTAGTGAGGCCAAAAAGCTATTGAGGTTTGAGTGGTCACACAGGTAAGGTAAGGTAGAATTGTATTTATGTCTAGCTTTCAGGGTGTCTACTACATTCTGGATAAAAAATTCATGGACAATTCCCGTACATTTAAGGACACTTTGCCGTAACCTTTGTCAATGTCATTAGGCCTACCGAATAATTTTCCTGATTTGTCAAACTGTTTTAATCTTGTTAATCACTGTAGTTGTACCAGAGAGAAAAGTAAATAATAATAGATAAGAGTTAAAAATTACAAAATAGAAATTTTATTGAAAGTAAACAAACATAGGCCTACCTATACTTTAGGTAAAGCTTTTATCACAGACAATATAATACTTTACTTTTATAGTGTAACAGAGAAACGCAATCATTGTCTCCTGCGATAGCGACAAATATCTCCATCCGTCACGTAAACTTCATAACATAGCTTATCCGATCCAGGCGGATTAATTTGGCATGATTCGCCCTGGCACAACGTTAGGTTCTCGACTACTTTTGAAAAAAAAATCTTTAATGCATATTGTTACTCAATTCTTAGTACAAAATCAAGGTATGGTAAGCGGCTATTAATAAGCAATAAGCACAGAGTAAGATTATTGTATTTTCATTTGTAAAGTTAATATCGACACATAGCAATCATTAGTTGTTTATCTTAGGCTCAATTACATTTTCTTAATATATTTTACAGCTCTTTCAAGAATCAAAATACCCAGGCATAAACCTAATTATTTAGGAGGGCCTATATAAACTGAGAGAGAGAGAGAGAGAGGGAGAGAGAGAGAGAGAGAGAGAGAACTTTATTCGCTGGTTTAGTTACAGTACTAGTATTACATTGCTGAGTAACAAACAATGAGGTTATAATAGCAGCAAAGTTACTATCATCATTCTAGTTCATAAGATTTTGATTGCTTAAAGCATACAACTCAATAAATAAATATATGGGAAACAAAAAACATTGAAACCTGAATAGCCAACAATATAAGACAAAGATACAGAAAATGCAATGACATAATTTGAAACCAAGCAGGCCTACATAGTGATAAAACATTAATGCTTGTGGTTTTGTCAATTGAAAGATAAAATATGTCCATAAAAAAGGGGTTAACTTACATAATAAGACTGTAGATTATTTACATGTTTAATATGAAACCATAAACAGTTTTATGGCACTAGGCACTGGCCACGGCAAATTGAATCTTCAAGCCGAAAGTACAAGTAAGAAGTGAAATTTAACAGCCATTATAAAGCTATTATTTTCACGATAAAATAGGTTTGGGATCTAATAATAATTACCCTAGTAATAAAAAAAGAAGTTGTAAAGGAATAAAAGTGATACAACTTTTATGAGCTAGCTGCTGAGTCAACAGTTCTTGGAAGTACTTGACTTGACACGATTGTCGTGATAAAATATTAATGGGTTTGAGATTGTTAATGGGATTTTTATTGCATAATTACTCTAGTAATAAATTATGAAAATGTAAACAAACATCTGATAAACCTTTTATGTGCTCCTAACCAACTAGCGATCAATAAAATTATGGCCCATTAAAAATTTAAGGACATTGTCTGGCATTTAAGGACAATTCCCGTACATTTCATGGCCAGTAAAAATTTAAGTACAATTCCCGGTTTTCCCGGATTTCCCGGTTGGTAGACACCCTGGCTTTGTTACCTGTCCCAGCCAGCTAGGGCAGTACTCAGGGTCGGTCCGCTGGCCAGCTCCAAACGCCATGTTGGCCAGCTGAGCCCGGCCCAGCGTGAGATACAAGGCGCCCAGGTTGGCCCACGGAACTGCCACGGACTCATCGGCCATCGTAGCTTTGATGAATGCATGCTGAGCCAAGCGGTAGTTCTTCACCTCTACAAAACGCAATCATGTAAAGTGAAGTAGTCAGTGGGCAACAATGTATTATATCTAGATAATATTAAAGTAGGGCCCGATTATCTGACCTAAAACGCGCCGCATAAAGTCAAATAGCATAGACAGTAATAAAATACCCCCGCTGCATCAAACCTGCTAACTAGGCAAACTTCAATTTGTCTGATAACAAAACTATTCTCATTAACAAGACATATTTATTCCCCATTTAAATAGCATTATATTTTAATGAGTACTTCTCCATAAGAAATTACATGGGAATTTTGAATGTAGTGCAGTTTTTTGAAATTTTCTTTGTAACCTTTGATTGTACAACATTTTTTCAATGCTATACAAGACGAATGAAAATTAGGCATTTACATGTTATAAGGGTAAAAATTTTATAAAAAAACAATTTTTGAAAAACTTTAAAACAACATAACAGCCTCTTCCTAAGACCCGATCTTACCTGTTCGGCAAACCACTGTTCACATATACATACATAAAATTACTCGACCACATAAAAAAAACAATCACAATTTACCTGGCAACGCTGCAATGACTCCAAGAAGGTTCCAGTGTTCCCAACCACGCGGATTGCACTTTACCGCTTCTCTTACTGCTGCTGACGCTTTCTGACACAGAGTCTTCCTGTCGTCTGTTCCGACCGGAGTTAACATAGCCTGAGGAAAAGAAAATATTTTCATTCCGTACAAAATAATATAAGTGAACTTGTGGAATTATAAAAAAAACTACGAAGAGAGTGATATTAGCAGTTTAAATACATGTGATCTCTTTTAAACCCTAGATATCGTGTAAAAAAGTTCAAACACATCCTTTCAAATACTGTATAGAATAACCTGGTAATAAAAAATTTGAAGATCCAACATCGGTCTAAGGGTATTATTTCTACACTAGTGTCAATGTCAAAGAATGATTTCAATACATACCTGATAACGATAGTTAAGAGCAAGACAATGCCAAACTCTGGCTGTGTTAGCGTTTTTGATCAGCTTTAGACTGCGACAAAAGAATCTGAAATAATAGAAAAACCTTCAATCATTAGACTAACACAAACTATCATAAACAATCAAATCAATCTAGTAAGGGTTTTCTCTGTCACATCCCTTTCCAGCTTAGTTCGGGATCAGCTACAACATACCGTGGTGAGGAATAGTGTGGTTACTTCATGTATCTTTGTTACTGACTAACACCACCTGTTTATTTATGACTTTCCCCAGTATTGAACTGGCAGACTTGTCATTACTAGATCAACATGTCTGCTCATCTATCCAGCTTGATTGTTTCAGTTACAACTTGGTAACTCAACTGGTCTAATGGGTATATCTACTATCTACTCACCGAGCCCCCAACTCCAACAGTTGCAACCCTTGGAGAGTCTTGACTTTAGGAGAGAGAACTTCCGGCAGCGAGAGAGAGTTCCAAGACCCAGGCAAGATGGCTACCGTAGTCATACACTCGGCTGCCAGCTGCCATAGACAAGCTATGTCTGGTCTCTCTTGGATGGCACTGGGAATAACACTGTTGTTTAGTGTAATTAAAGTGTTTGTTACATATATTTTGTATCTATACTTTGATTTGAATGTAAATAATTTATCGTTCTCATATTATACATAGATCCTAGTCTTTTTACAACAGATAGAACCCTGCTTTTTATCTTCTGAGCCGATTCATTCTACAACTTCCCCCTGTGTAAGGCCAATGTGCCAATAAACAGACTCTACCAGACTCTACCATCCGTGAAAATTTCTCACCCAAACTTGGACGGCAGGGTGAGGACTGTATCATGCAGTTGGCATCAATAGTTCATATCACATAGAAGGTGTAAGAGGCAGCTCCCTCTTACATAGGCTATCTTATTAGTATTAGTTCAAGTTGTTGAATGTAATTTTATTTTTATATAATATGTTTGCTGTTACTTGTTCTGTATTTAATTTAATTTATGTTGGTAACAGCTGATCATGTGTAAATAGTTAGGATTGTTTTTATTGTAATGAGAATTGTTGAATAAGTTATGTTTGAGTAAAAATGTTGTGTGTGTACTTCAGTAAAATAAAAGATAATTATTGTAACAGTAAAACCTTAGGTGTTAGTAATTTACTTTCACTTAAGTCAACAGGTTATGGGCCCAGAAAAATTCATTAATTCAACCATAACTGTAAAAACAAGAAGTAATCTTCTAGTAAAACCCCAAGAGTTAAAGTGTAGTGAAGGTGAGTGAAAAAGTAAAAGTAAGACTAACAATGGCATCAGTAAAAGAAGATGATTTCGTAGAAAAACTCAAAGGAGTTGAAACTTTTCCATTGTGGAAATTTCAGATTAAAATAATATTTCAATCCAGTGATTTGATGAGTATTGTTGATGGTTCTGAGAAACTTGAAGATATGGGCGATGGAAAGAAGAAGGCTGATTGGATTAAAAGAGATGCCAAGGCTCAGAAGTGTATAGTTAGTTCTATTGAGAAGGGACCGATGTTACATATCATTAACTGTGAAAACTCAAGAGAAATGTTTTTGAAGCTGTGTTATATTTATGAAAGAGACTCAGAGCAGCAGAAGTACTCGTTATTACAAGAATTCTTTAACCTCAGGTATGAGCCTAATTCTGATATAAGTTCTCACACAAGTAGAATTGAAAACATAGCACACAGACTAAAAACTTTAAAACAAGATATTGATGAAAAAATGATAATATAAAAAATTCTTGTCAGTCTGCCAGATAGATTTAAGTATTTTGTAACTGCCTGGGAATCAATGCCCAATGAAGAAAAGACATTGGCAAATCTAACAGCGAGACTGTTAGCAGAAGAGTCAAGAAGTGAGTTAAAGGAGGTAAGCCTAGAGAAAAATCTTGCATTCCAAGTTGTTTGTCACAACTGTAAAATTCCAGGCCATAAAGCAAAATACTGCAAGAAACCTACACACAATTGGGCTAACTCTGATAATGAAAGGCGATGTTTTAAATGCAATGCTGTTGGTCATCTAGCAAACACCTGTGGAAATGTAAAAAAATTTGTTAACAAGTTTGAAAAAAGAAATGTAAAGCCAAATTTATTTTGTAATATATGTAAAAAGTCAAATCATAATGAAAAAAATTGTTACTTTAGAAAAAGCCAGAACCTAAATGTCGCTAGTAAAACTGTGTCATTTTTGTCGTATGATGATGGACAAAATGTTCGGGGTAATAGTGGGACTGTAAACTTTGTATCTGAATGGGTTGTTGATTCAGGCACATCTTCACATATAAAAAATTGTGCAGATTTGTTAAGTAATAAACAAAATATTTCTTCTGAAATATATGTTGCTAAGAAAAATCAAACCATGTTAGCTTCAACGAGTGGAACTGTAAAATTCAAAGAATGTATCCTGAATAATGTGCTATATGTTCCTGAACTCAGTGAAAACTTGTTGTCTGTTTCTGCAATAACTAATAATGGTGGTGAGGTTACTTTCTCTGAAAATACAACAGAGAATGACCAGAAAGGAGACAAAAATGAAAATGATAAGAAAGAAGACAAAAATGAAAATGACCAGAAAGAAGACGAAAATGAAAATGAAGATATTGAGAGTGCAGATAATCTAAGTGAGATAAGTAATAATGAAGTAGAGTTTGAGTTGGTTTCAGACAAAAATGAAATCAATGAAGAACAGCCAAGTTTAAGTAATACTGATACTACACAAAGCATCAAACTAAGGAGAAAAACTAAACTACCTGAAAGATATAAAGAGTTTGTGTTGTTAACATATGAAGAAGCAATCAAAGGACCAGATAAAAAAAATTGGCTACAAGCAATTGAGGATGAGAAAAACTCCCTAATTGAGAATGAAACGTGGGAAGTGGTTGACAAAAAGCAAGCACTAAACAAGAAGATCCTAAGTAACAAGTGGGTATTAACAAGAAAGGATAACGGAAAATACAAAGCGAGACTAGTTGTAAGAGGCTTTACCCAAGAAAAAGGTATAGACTTTGAAGAAACCTACAGCCCAGTTGTAAGTAATTCAACTTTACGTTTGTTATTTTCATTAGCTGCCAAACAAAATCTCAAACTAATGCAATTTGATGTTAAAACTGCTTTTCTATATGGAAATTTAGATGAAGAAATTTATATGTGTGTACCTGAAGGGTTTGATCATAAAGATAAAGTTTTGAAATTAAGAAAGACTTTATATGGACTTAAACAAGCTCCATTTAAATGGAACCAGTTGTTTACAAACTGCTTACTAAAATATGGCTTAAAACAAACTCAGCCTGACCGTTGTGTTTTTACAAATGGCAGTATTCATCTTGCTATATTTGTTGATGATGGAATTCTTGCTGGTTCAGATGAAAGAGAGATGAAGAAACTTTTGAACGAGCTGTCTAGAGATTTTAAAACAAAAACAGACGAAAACCCATCAAACTTTCTTGGAATGGAAATTTTATATTCAAGGGAAGGGATATTGTTAACACAAAAGAACTATTCAAACAGAATTCTCGAAAAATATGGAATGATAGATTGTAAACCTGTAGACACTCCCATTTGTCCAGTGAAAACGAGCAAACCTGATGAAGAAGTAAGCTGCCTGACAAAAGATTATCCTTACAGAGAAGTTGTAGGAAGTTTGCTGTACTTATCCAATAAAACCAGACCTGATCTTACACTTGCTGTGGGATTAGAAAGTAGACGTGTTGAGAATCCAAGCAATGAAGATGTTGTAAATGTCAAACGAACCTTAAGATATATTAAAAGTACTCAAGACGCAGGAATATTATTTTCAGCATCAGGAGAAAATTGCCTAAATGTATATTGTGACGCAGACTATGCAAATTGCAAGCATACAAGAAGAAGTACTACTGGATTTGTCATAATGTATGGAGAAGACCCAATAAGCTGGTGTACAAGAAGACAACCGATTGTAGCTTTGTCCAGCACTGAAGCAGAATACATTGCAGCGGCGGAATGTGTCAAAGAAGTGTTATATTTAAAAACTTTCTTGCAAGAGTTGAGTGGAACTAATGTTGAAACAAACCTAAACATGGACAATCAAAGTGCTATTAAGCTTTGTAAAAATGGAATTTTTAATAAGCGAAGCAAACACATTGATGTTCGCTACCATTTTTTGACTGAAAATGTAAGGCAAGGTAAAATAAACATTTCTTTTGTTTCTACATCTGAGAATGTTGCGGATATGTTTACAAAACCCTTGAACAATGTTAAGTTTCATCAATTTAGCAAAGCTTTGATCAACTATCCAAAATCTTGAACAGAAGACGATAATCGAGATATTTATTTTTTTGTTTCTTACATAAAATTAAAATTAAGGGAAGGTGTTGAATGTAATTTTATTTTTATATAATATGTTTGCTGTTACTTGTTCTGTATTTAATTTAATTTATGTTGGTAACAGCTGATCATGTGTAAATAGTTAGGATTGTTTTTATTGTAATGAGAATTGTTGAATAAGTTATGTTTGAGTAAAAATGTTGTGTGTGTACTTCAGTAAAATAAAAGATAATTATTGTAACAGTAAAACCTTAGGTGTTAGTAATTTACTTTCACTTAAGTCAACACAAGTCATAATACCAACCAAATTTATTTTCCAACTATCAAACAATAATTTTTGTAGAATTAATTTAATTTGCATTACTTATCAATCACACAATTTGACTTTTTAAAACAAATTATATCTGTAACGCCGTTACATGTCCCAACACTATTCCTATTACCTTCCCATGGCGTCCAGACCTTCTTGCAGCCTATCTCTAGCCAGTCCTAGCAGTCTCTGACGCAGGAAGTCCTTGGCTAAACACAAACACGTGTCACAGAGACCCTTCAACGCCAAGATAGAGGTGGGTCTCTCCCTCACCAACTCTCGGAACTCTAGTAGACTTTCATGCGGTAGATCTGTTATCTGAAAATAGGTAAGACAAAATAAATACTCCATTCGTATATTAGTTTGTTGGTTAACAGGTTCAGTCCCAGCCGGCACACTCCTCTGTATATAACGTCTCTCATCACGCGGGAGTGAGTGTGTTAACAGGTTCAGTCCCAGCCGGCACACTCCTCTGTATATAACGTCTCTCATCACGTGGGAGTGAGTGTGTTAAGTCAATTAATTTTGAACACAATTCAACAATCACTACAAACACAGTCCAATTGTTCATTTAAAAAGCCTTCTTCTAGGGATGGACGAGATTGGATTTTTAGTTCGAGACGAGACGAGACAAGATTTTTTATTTCTCATAAAATTTCGAGACGAGATCGAGACGAGATTTCTCTAATCATACACAACGGGAAATGCATGTTCAAAATTTTTACCTGATTTTGTAACATTGTTAGATGACTGTTTAAATACTAAAATAATGATAATAGGCAAGAATATTTACAATCTTTTATTAAATAACATCAGCATAACATTTTTTTATTAATCACGCCTAACTTATTAAAAATGCCTACGATTAGGAAACATGGTGATATCAGTTAGGATAGATTTCAACTTATCCTAAAATAAAATAAATCATAAAATAAAAGCAATATTAATTTTTATAAAATAGTTACTTGTTTTGACTTTTTTATAGTAATAAAACATTCCTCACACTGCTTACACTTAACAAAACTTCTCAAATGTTATTTAAGTAATATTATTAAAATAATGAAAGTAATATTTACATTAAAAGAATTAAAGTAATATTTACATTAAAAGAATTAATTAAATAAGAACGCCTTCGAAAAGGAAACGCAACTACAACACGCTCCTGTATTGCGGGTATTGCATTGACTTTCTGCAGGCGTTTTTAATTTTTTTTTTTTTTTTTTTTTTTTTTTTTTTATTCTTGTCTCGATAAAAATCTCGGCCAAAAAGTAATCTCGTCTCGTGTAACGAGATTGAAAATTTCCCGAAAATTTCCCGAAATTTCGAGACTTGACCATCCCTACCTTCTTCATAGGCATACAAAACCACCAATAACTACCATTGACCTCATTTTGGTTATAATTTTAAATTTTTTCAACCATTTTACTTCCAGAACTTTTCTCTTCAGGTTGCACGTATGAAGAACAAATTTTCTATTAACATTTTTCATGTACAGTACAGTCCCACAAACTTCAGGTGCCAGGTTGTTGGGAAAAGACAACATGTCAAAAGTTGAGACATTGTATAGTACATTTTCCTTCCATTTACCGCGTATAGATAATACATTTACAATACCATTAACATAAATTCAACTTGTTAAAGAAGAAAATCCATTGCTGAAAAAATTGTTACCAGTCTACTGAGTGGTGCTTCGGTTATCAGGTTCTCTGGTGGTGAAACGTTCTTCAGTATTTTTTTCGCTAATATTACTAGGGCCAAATTGCAGACAATATACTATGTAACTACAGTAGAACCTCGATTAACCGGGGGCGGATGATCCGGGCGGCGGATGAACCGGGCGGCGGATCAACCGTGGTCAATGTAGATGCCTCTTTAATTTGTTACATAACCTCAAAAATACAAAGTAAATATTATAAATTGTGTTTCTTTAGTCTAATATGTTGAAATGCTCAATATAACTATTTCCAACCATTTTATATACAGTTTTATTGCTTTTGAAGCAACAGTTCATTTGACAAAAATAAATTGAAGCTAAACAAAGAAATAGCCGTCAATAGCTTCAAGGTCAAGATATCCACTTGCACTGACAATCATCTAAAAGTCTATGTTTGCTATGTCACAACAGTTTGTGGTTGGGTGTTTCGTAACCATGGCAACTTTTGTAGCCTTTGGTTTCCATGACAAGTTGTTGAATGTGTGTTATGAAAAGAAACCCATGAAAGAATAGAATAACAAAGAGAAAGAGTAAGCAATGTTTTTATGTCATTGTTATCTTAATCTAATTTTACGACTGTTATTATTATCGTTAAGTACTATGGTTTTATACTCGTTTATGAGTCATATAATGTTTTTATCAACATTACGTCATTCTTCTGTCTTAAAACAGCATGTAGCAGTAATTAATAGTAAGTACTAGAACTTCTATTAATCTGTTCTTTACGTGATTTATTGGGTTACTGTACAGTGTTGAACATTTTTTTTTGTTGGAGTAAAATTTTGAGTAAGCTGTGATTTTAAACGTTACAGTTTTTGTTACAAGGTCATTAACTTGACATATCATGATTCCGCAAAAGCCTACTAATTGTATTTTCATGATGTAATAAAATGCAAATTATCACATTAACGGCCATTTATATAGTTTTCAGCATTTTAAGCGTGTTTTATGTCATGTTGGATTAACCGTGGGTTCAGTTATCCGTGGTCTCCCTCCCCCCCATTACACTGGATAACCGAGGTTCTACTGTAATCAAGCTTAAGGGTGTAGTAGTTCGCCATTAGCCTCGTCTAAAAAGTCATAAAAACACTGGTTTAAGGTTCTGTGAAACTGACGTAAAATTCTTTCAGCGTTTGCCAAGAATTCTGGACAGGTCAACCGGGTTTTCAGGTGCTGACTTTGCAGGACTTGAACGTACGGAGAAACATAAATTGTTTCACAAGAAATATTTCACAAACCATAAATGCTTCATTATGAAATAACACAACTTTAGAACCATCATCTCTTTAAGATAGTTTGTATACACTTACTTGTTTGATGGTGGCAATTTTCAAAGCAGGATAGAATGCCCCTGGTCGTAAGTCCAGGACCCTTTGGTAGGACTTGAGGGCTGATCCGTTGGCACCTCTAGCTAGGTATGCGTCTGCCAGCGCCTCCCACAGATGACTGTAAGTGAGCATGTAGATTAAAAGGCATTAACAGACATGTTTGTTTGTGTAAAACAACAGTTAATAGCTATAACAAGTGTCCAGGTACATTGGAGTCGTACAAGAATTGCCCTGTGTATCAATTAATTGTTACTGCTTCATTGCTGACAACTGTTGGTTAGTACCAATTTTGTGATGGTGAAACAGTTTGAGCTACAGATAAGTTTTTAAGTAGCCTAAGAGTTTTTGTCAAAAATAGTTATTACACTTTTTAGCATACTAAACATTTTTTTGTAAATTTTCAACTAAGATCAAGTTGTTTTTGAGAGAGTATTTTGATTTTATTCTTCAGCGTAACACTAAGTACAGTAGAACCTCAATCAACCGTCAACTTTTCAACTGTCACTCTCTATCATTTGACACACTGCTACAGTACTTGATGAGTCGTAATTGACGCCGTGCGCCGTGTACAGCACAGAAGAAAAGTGTATGCACCATTGTGATTAAACATGACTGTCCAGGGTTTAATTTCTTCCAAAACCATTTAAAATCAACGGTACTTTCCTGTTAAAGGGAACATTCATTATTATCGATAGTTTTTTTCTTGATATATCGATATTAACAAATTGAAACATATCAGCTGACAACTACGATAAATATTGTTCAGTATCAACAAACAATAATAAAATGAAACTGTCCTAAAAAAATAACCTAACATAACTAACCAAACTTGCTGTAACATTTAAAAATTCCGTGTTTAACTTGCCTTTTCTGTTATCAAACGGTTAGCTTAGAAAAGTTTTATTTCTTAATCCATATGATAGACTGTTTTAGCCTAAACAAGATCAGTAGTTAGTTGTTGTCAATTTGTAATGGATCGGAAAACAAAAATATCGATATATCGAAAAAATCATCGATAATAATGAATGTTCCCTTTAACAAAGTACCAAATCAACTTATTATACAGGTTAATAGCGGGATTTCTGTTTCCGTCTATTCACTTAACCTTCACGCTCCCGGTCCTGCAGGTGACGGTTAATAGAGGTTTTACAGTAACTGGTGAGTAAATCTCAAGTTGGCCGTTTTCGACCTAACCCAAAGTAAAAAAGTGTGGCACATGCAGATCACAATTACCTACCCTGTGAAACAACAGCGTATCTCACCTGTCGTCAGGATCTGACTTGAGAGCAGTCCTCAGACAGCTAATGGCAGCGGTTGTGTCTCCAAGGTCTGAGTGTTGCAGTCCTAGTCTAGGCCAAGCCCAGCGACCTTCTCCTGTCTGACACACACTCTGTAGCAGCTCTAGGTTGCTCTTCTGTAACCAACACACTCTACTGAACACAGAAATAATACATTTTTCTATGAATAATATTATTATTTTCATTTCATGGCCAACATTGGACCACTCAAGTTATTTTAATGGGCACTATTTGTAATCTTGTATTCTGTTACTGCTCCCAGTATGTTTTCTTCCAGTCTGACCATAGTTTTATTTCTTTGTTTGAATGGGTGAGTCGGTGGCTCAGTCGGTAGCATCACAGACTTCGGGCCCAAGGCAGCGATGTCGTGAGTTCGGATCCTGGTCACTGCCGAAAACATTTTATCAGTACAGTTCACCTTTGTACTGTACCGGCTCACCCCTTGCTTTGCTGGATACGTTAAACGCACGGGCAGTTAGTCTATGTGGACGGGCAAATGCAAGGATAAAAGAGGCCGCCAACCTCTTAAAAAAAAAATTTACTCTTACTGTCCTTAGATTATTTAATTTAGTTTGTTGTGTCGTCTGTTTGTCTTTTTAGCTTCACTAAATAATAAAGTAAAAAGTTTGTGTAAGGATAATCCAAAGTGGCGTAACTCACCGCATCCCCAAGCGCCCTGTAGGCATCACTGAGGGCTCGTTGAGTCGGTACATGAGCAGGGTTGAGCACAAGAGCACGTTGATAGCATCGCCTCGCCTTGTCCATCATCGTAGTGTCTTGAGCATATATATGGCCCAGCTGCAGATATGCGGTGTACCAATGGGGGGCGAGCTTGGCACACTGAAAAATTCAACAGCTGTTTTTATTAATACCAGGTAGTAACGGATTTTGCAAATATTGGAACAAAGTTACTTTTAATTTAGTTTATTCATGTTGAAGCCTTCAAGGTGCGTAGTTATTATTTAATTTAGTCCTTGATTTTTCAACACCTGATTTTTTTTTCAAGCTGACTTACTTACTTTACTTACTTTACTTTTCAATATGTGTATGTCAATAATAATGTAGTTTAATTGTTGTTTTTTGATTTCCACTTGTATTTTATGACACTCGTGTATGAATATTCCAAATAAATAAGGTTTATTTTATTTGATTTTTTACTACATTTGGTGCAAGTCTTAAATATAAATTATGTATATCAAAGGAAAGTTGTACCTGCCTAAAGCTGAAGTATTATCAAAGTGTATAGTAATTCAACAAACAACTAAACAGTTTGAGACAATATTTAGTGATCAAAGAAACAAAAAAAAAAAACTTGGAATTTAAATATAAAATAATCACCCTACAATATTTCTTAAAAAAAAATCTTAAAAATAAATTTTGCTTGCTCTAATAATTCAATGAAATTTACCGTAAATTAACTTTAAATTATTATAGAAACACCTCCACAAATGGTTTCTTGTGGGACTGGAGAGACGGGTAGTAACTGAATATAAATTTCCTTTACAAGGTACTACAATTTTGAAGATTGTAATAATTTTGGAAATAAGTATTGCAGAGTAGCCTACTACAGACTTCATGTACAGTATACATACTATACTCTGTTCACAAAATTTATTAAATTAATTATTAAACCTGCAGACTAAGCGAATTTCCATTTACCAGTAATGGATTTTAAGTTTTTGGCCTCTAGGGACATCAAAGTGAAAAAGTATATCGGTCCCGGGCCTAGGTCTTACCCTGCCATTTATGGTAATAGCTACTTCCCCATAGGAAAATTCGCTAAAAAAGTGGTGGGGGAACTTCCCCTAAAAACCGCATAAATTTTGTAAACGGAGTATAATATAGTATTTTATTTCAAGCATTTAGTGTGCCAAAAATCATCAGTAAGAATAGTGTAATACATTTTTTGAGGTGGTGATTAAAATGTCCCCCCTTTTAATTGAGGTTCCACTTTTCTCTTTAAATTCAAACAATTCATTGCTTAAATAAATATGAGTTGTAATATTCATGTATACAAATTTGTATTGAATAAAGACTTTTTGAATCTTGAATCTCGAGTCTTGGTTTTCAAATCACAACTATAATTCAAATCACCTTGAGAAACGCGGTGCAAGCCAGTTGCAAGTCTCCCTTGTTCTGGTGTAGACAGCCCAGGCGGTACCAAGCCTCGGGACAGTCAGGAGTGTTGTCTAACAGTAAGGGTAGCAGATCACCCCCCTCCACCTGGGTCTCCAGCTGGTACAGTGCTGCCAACCCAGGTGCGTGTGACAGGTGTGTCACAGCAGACGACAGATCAGACCACTGCTTCAGTCTCAGATGAGTCTCACACAGTGCTTCAGCTGCTAGAGGTGATTGGTGGTTCTTCAGCACCTTGAGACAAGTCAAACTTTTCATAATTTTGTGTACAGTTGGATAAAGAACAACATACTCGTTAAAAATAGCTGGGAGTGGTTTAATTTTTTGTGAAGTATTCTTTTGCAGAATTCACCGTTTGGTAGGATTAGCAAAAGCAAACCTTTAAGCACGAGTTTGTCAAACTGACTACATAGATGTACAAAAGGTTATGACTCTAGTGTCACATTGGATAGCCTTCAAGAACAGAGAAACAAAATATTATTTATTAAAACTTTCTATTTTTAAACATTAATACATTCTTTTTTCGTCTATCGTCTCTATTACTCTGTCAGTTTAATTTTCAGGGTGGCCACTGCCCATAGAACTCCTGGGAAAAAATAGACCAATTTATTAATTACAAGGCAAAAATGTGGTTTTGATTCCACTATAAACTGTAGGTCCCTTAGTTGCCATTGGCTGTATGGGCTATTAATTAAGGAATATCTCAGCCTTAGTCACTATCAAGACTACAAGATCGCGATTTTCATCCTACACTCATCTCCATTCAGGCTTAAAATACCTACATTCGTATGGTCTGGTCGCCATTTCAAAGTTAAGGGAAGTATTAAAGATGTATAATTTTATCCACAATCAAATGGGCTATACTCCTAAGTGGTTCCAAGGATATGTTTGGTAATGTTTCACACCAGGAAACAATCTCCGTATAGTCTTGACACTCTGTGAGCAAACAAAGATCACAACGACAACAACAATGACCAACACAACAAAAACAGCATTGACCAACAACGATTACCTGTGATGCAAGAGTGACAGCTCTAGGCCAGTCCTTCTCTCTCTCGGACGTAGACAGGACCTTGGCCAGGACCCCCAGAGCCGCAGGGTGTTCAGGCCGTAGTTCTACGGACATTTTCACATATTGCATCGCTTTGTCTCTACACAACAGCTGTGTGTAGGCCTCTGCAAGTAGGACTACTGCGTGGTACGCGCTGGGGTTAGCAGACACATCTGAGAAAAAGGTATTAAATCATTTCACACGTTAGGAACATTGATCAGCTGTTTTAAGGATCTACATTACTGAACTGTCCGCTAACAGCATCAATAATAGTTGCTGTGACAAAAATTCATCATTTCTTTTTGTACAGGAAACAGACAATAAATTCTTCTGTCTCAAAAGTGTGTTGTACAACAGTTTTTGCAGGTTATTTGGGTAAAACAAAAATCATAAAATGGGTTTCAAGGGAAATTTTTTCCAAACAGAGAAAATTCTCCTTAATTCGATAGACCTGTAGGCCTAGACACTTTTATGTTTTCTATATTTGTAGACAACGCTTAAGATAGCTTTTAAGGTGTGTCAGTTTTGGCAGCAATTTTATGTAAATGAATAAAGAAAGTTACAAATCAACAGAGAAAAATTATTAAAAATGTTGTTCTATACAGAATTTTTATTATATTATTACTATGAGGTGAAAGTACAGGTATCAGGGCAGGGTTAATCAGTAAACATCTGATGCCAACTACAGTATTGACAGTAGACGAGTCAAAATTAAGTAAATTATTGAATTATTTTCCTTTGTTTACGAATGACTAAATTAATATTTTTAATTTAATGAAATGAAAAAACTAACGAGCAAACAGTGAGGATTTATCAACAATTATAATTGTGATTCATACACCAATGACAAATGGCATGTGGGTCTCAAAACAATCTCGCTTGGAATCGAACCCAGCAACTTTCAGATTTGAAGATGAGCACAATAACCACTCGGCTACCCAGACTTTACTTTTAACACGTTGTACAAATTAAGAGTAAAACATTGTATCTCTGATTCCTAATAAATCGAACTAAATAGACTTTTGTATACTTTATTACTACTCATCACGATTTATGCAGCAATCAGTAAAAAACATTTAGGTTTAACATTTGGTTTTAGACAAATATAAATGGTAAAATATTTCTTACATTGTTGAAGACAATCCCTCGCTTCTAGAAAAGCATTCTGGGCCATATGGTAGGTTCCTTGAGCCATGAGCGCATAGACATTGTCCTTCTCAAGTTCTACGAGCTTGGTAACATACTGAAGCAATTTTTTGCACCACTCAACAACATCGCTTCGGTTTTCAACAAATTGTTCTGAGCAAACTCTGCAAATCAATTCTATGACTCTCGCATCGTCACAAGTATTGGATATATTCTCAGCGAATGCTAAAAGCTCTTGGTATTTGTTTTGGTTGTACAACAGTTTAATATACAATTGACGTTGATTGCTGTCTAATTCTGATGGTGACTGGGTGAAGAATTCTTCGTACTGAAAAACCATTTGATTGAGTTAAACTTGAGGTACAACCGAATGAAAACTTAGCTATCATGGTAGATCCGTTCTGGCTAACATGGGGTGTCACACACTCCCCAAGAAAAGAGGTTGGTACAGGGGACCTTCCCTGAAGGATTCAGTATTTTTAAAGCTGTTTGGTGACTTTACAAAGCCATTTTTAGTCTAAAACTGTATCAAAAAACCTCAGTTACGTTTCAGAACAAAATGTATGTTTACATTTATTTTTCCAGTATCCATTACCCCAACCCCCAATATCAATCTCCCCCGCTTTAGCTTCCCCCCCCCTTGGAACCGCCACTAGCATCGCATATGGCAAAAACTACCTGTACCATAGTTAACAAGTTCCAGTTCGCTATCGCAATAGTACCAAATTTTTCATTCATATGGACCAGGGACGCACATATGCAATGGCTGGTTTCTAGCCATAGACTGCCGACACATATATGCGACGGCTAGTGTATGTATGCTGCATTATCCCATGTAGCTTTTATATTTGTTCATTTATAACCTGTTCTTAAAAAGTCTGTTTTTTTTACTTACTTTCACCAAAAACATAAACAAAAATGAACTGTCGCATATAACTCATGCGGCGCTTGAGCTATTTCAAGAAAAATATAATAATTTTCACTAGGCTATTGTCTTCGCTATAGACTGGGTGTCTCAAATATCCGACATTACAAAATGTTATCAAAAATATTTTAAAAATGGAATATTATTATTAACAAACAAGATTGCAGAGTATTAGAAAGTAAATGATCACTGTTTCAAGCTTTTGCCCGTGGTCTGCGTGTACTGTTGACCAAGTGACAGCCAGTATATGTGTAAGATTAAATTGTATACCTCGGTCCTTGGCAATGATCGCGGCATCGCATATATGCGATGCTCGGTAGCCAACGTGTTAAATCCCTGTTTTAAATCTTCATTTAACTTTTACAAGCCAACTATTAGTAAAACACTCTCCTTAGGACTAAAATCATAATTTGATTGCTATAATGCTTTGGAGCTAGATCAAGTCAAGGTTAGGCCTAGTTAAAACCCAAATTTATCTGAGTTTAAACTTACCAAACTGCTATATTTTTCCGGTATGTCATAAACATATGACAAATATTGTAAAATAACTTTACGAATAGCTTCAGACTTGTTGTTATCTTCAACCTTTTTGTACTCCGCTACCATTTCTACCATGAAATCATCACTAGAAAATTTGTTTACAATACCTTGCAGTTTGTTAACTATGTCAAACCATTTCGCAGAATCGCTGAAATAAATTTACAAATTAGTACAAAACTAGTATAGACAATGTGTTTTGAGGACTAAATGCAAAACAAATATGTAGGCCTAAACTCTGTGGATTTTTTGAATCTATTTTAATATACGTGGTAACATGATCACAAAGGCTGTGATGGACTACGTTCTGACTGAACTGTAACAACAACCAAATAATCTATATTTATTTTTCTAACTAACAAACAAAACAATCCAGAATTTTTAAAAGTTAAAATTTTTTCAGGTTGAAAAACATCATTCAGAAGCATATAAGCAGCCCATTATCCCATTAACCCATTGGGGGAGGAATTAATGTGCTTCCTGCAGTGCCCTCGGTCAGCAATTAATTTTACAGAATTTGTAGACCTTCACTCTAATTGTTACAGAAAGAAAACCTTAGGTAATAATTAAATCATTATTTGCCATTTTGTTCAGAATAAAATTGTCTACCAAAAAATGTTAATTGGATAATCAAAGTGTAAAATTAAAAAAATTAAAATAAAAATTAGGCTATAACAAATTTAAATTATAAAATATAAAAAATAAGTTATTTAAATTAAAATTTATTCCAAAAATTCCAAGATTAATCCAGATACCAAATGACACTATCCATATATAAATCCCAAAGTACCCATGGACTTTTTAGAAAACTAAAAGTCACACCCCCAATTACACCTTATACTTAAAATGTTCGCCATGACAAGAAACCTTACACAATCCATTATTTCATAAATTGCACTTTAAGGTCGTAATTCCTTTCTAAAGGGAACTATGTTAAAAATACCTCAGCAGTATTTATTTGTTTGTTTTCCTTCAGTTAGGCCTAGTTAGGCCTACCTTATTAAAATGAGATGCGATTTGATTTGTTTGTATTACTGGATTCAGTTTTGTTTATTTCAGCTTAACAAAACCAATCAATAGTTTTATTAGGCTACTTATGAAGTCAAACGGGGTGAAGCCTGTGGAAAAGAGCTAGTTATCATAAAGTTCAATTGATTCCCTACGTAGGAAAAACAAACAGTTGTTTGTTTTATAAGTAAATGTCATAGAATAAATATTGTTTGTTTTACCTTACCACAGCTGATTTTGGGTGATATCTGTGTTCTATGGAAACACAACAACCTTTGTTATTCCCAAAAATAAATTATTAAAAATATGCAAAACAAGAAGCAAGGTTTTATAAACATTGTAAAAGTAAAATAAATGTTAAACAATTAAATTAAACAAGCTGAGCTCCTAAGTCGGATTTTGGGCCTGCGGCGGCCAGACCGCTCGTAAGTCGGTGCTAATGGGTTAAGGCTATTTAATGGAACAATTAGCCTACTCAAATTATTTAAATATATTGCTAAAAACATCTTTAAAAAAAATTAAACAGTCTTAAACACCCTAGGCCTATTCCTAAAAAATAAACCTATTCTAAAGCACAACTTTACATGAAATAAAACTATGTTCCTGCGCATATTTAAGTTAACAACTGTTTACAAGTTTTACCTCTCCAATTGTAGCAATTGCTTATATACAGGTGCTAAATATTCTGCATTTTTATTGCTGTCTTCTTTCTCGTAAAAGTTTGCCAATCCTTGCCAAGCCAAAGGCTGCTCTGGGGAGAGTTCAACGGCTTTACGGTAGGCATTAGGCGCCTGGTCCTTCTGCTCCGATTCTTGAAGTGCCGCACCAAATAGTACCAATCCCAGATAATTATTTCTATCTTCCTTCAGCACCGCCTAAAACATAGATTAAGCTCAGTAAGCTCAGTATAGTACCTACAGCATAACTTAATCCAATCCAAGGTAAATTATAATGGGATTAGTTGTTAGGTACCGGTAATTAAAATGTTCAGTAAATAAATTGAGATATATTTTCAATCAAATACATGTTATGTACAGTAGTAGTCAACCTTTAGATTTAGGTTGCAGAAGTACAGCAGGTATAATAGCAGCCTATTGAAAGGCTTTAAATCAAATCAATTAACTTTGGGTGACGCATCTTGGTATTTTTGTGTGTCTTTAGGTATTTTGGGTGCACTGAGATATATTTACAGTAATCAGTGTAAAAACACATTATAACCAAAAAGTTATGTTTAAGTTATTTCCAAATTATCAAAGGTATGCTAACATAGGAGTGAATTTCAAGAGATGTGGTTTGGAAAAGTTTCAGAAGATATTGGTCAAGATCTATAACATTTATTAAATATAAGTTACTTGTAGCCAGCTGCGAAGTGCTTACAATCTAAAAGTATTTAGTAAGTAAATACAACTTAATTTGAAATGCATATAATTTTAGAATAACTTAACATAGTGGGCCTAAGTAATTACAAACTAAGAATTAGAACGTACAGCGAGCATAAGATAGACCTAGCCTCTTGCATTTAACATTTACTACTGAGCAATCCTCACTTAACTAACATTTAACTACAGTACTACAACTAATTGACGGATCTGAATGTTCGGAGGTTTACATAGTTTGCAAGCACGATGTTATGCTTTGACAGTTCATCATTCACGTTTAAGGCAGTGATCAAATTTAGAGACATTTTTAACGTGGATTGCGGTGTCAATGAATTAGGATAGGCTATGCTGTCTAAGTATATTTGGTAGGGGACGTCTCAAAAGTCTACCAAAGACAACGGTAAACTCACAAAGATAAAAACACTGATCAACATAAGCAAAGTTTTCACAACTTTATTCGCTATCTTGATGGAAACTGATGAACATGCGCTGCCAGTCTCTTTGAGCAAATGTTTAACTTACGACCTTTTAAAAACCACATCCAAGCTAAATTTCTATGTTTAGGCTGAACACTTTCTGGCATACAAATCTGTCAACTGGCAAAGGAATTTTGAAAATGGTTGGCTCCATCCTACAGAAACCTAATCCTATAACGTGATTTATACTTGGCGGAAGCATCGATTTACCCTCACATTTTTCGGCTACAACAAGACTAAGTTTAGTCGTGTTTAAGTTATGTCCATGTAACGTTGGGAACTGGCTAGAACTAATGGTAGGCCTAGATGAAGCAAAGAGCACGGCATTGGTCTCAGATTTAACTAGCTTGCGACTGGAGCTCATTAGAGGCCTTAATTTGCGGACAGCTCATGTGTTGTTTTGAAGCATTAGAATGTAGGTAGTAGGCCTAAGTTACCAGTTAATAAAATAAATTACTTGATCTAAAATTTCCCTTTGCTGAAACACATAAGATGTTTAACAAAAAGAGCAGTTAAATTATTTAAAAGATTGTTTATCTTCCCAAATCTCATACTGTTTGGGATAGGCTAACAAGTTGAATTAAGTAGGCCTAACTTATAACCATAAATTTAGTAGGTAGCCTACCTTGCATAGTTTTAGAGCTGTTTCTATCTCATTGCTTCTAATAGCTTCCTTAGCTTGTTTCAAAGAACTTTTTATGGTTTTAGAGTCCATCTCAAAAGAGAATTGTAATTATTAATGCAATGAAGTTAACTCAGAGAACCCTAACCTCATTAACCTCAAAGCTTTACTGTTGGCAAATCTCGCAAAGTAAATAACAATGAATTAGGCCTATATGATTCAAATTAATTATAACCAATCACACACAATTATAACTATTTTAATCGTAACTTATTTGTTTAAAATATTTATCAAAAACATGATGTTTCAACTCTACCCTAACAATTTACGGTATATTTTGTTCTTTCACAAAAAGAAAGCGAAGCGGAAGAAAGTAAAAGCAGACACACACTCAATAATAGAAGACACAGCTGATTCTCTTCATAGCCAGCTGTTCTAGTGTTACGTGTTTGTTTACACAATTAAATTGACGACAAACAGTTTACGCCACACTACACTATTTTGACGAACTTCCCATGCAAGGATTTAGTCCAGAAAACAGCTGTTTGCCACCAGCTTAATCAAATGGGGTTTCATTGCGTAATACTGTTCTGCAATGAGTTTTGCCGGACACCAATCAGCTGATTATACTGTATTTGCGTGGCAATGATTTAGTTATAAACAAAAACATAACCTCTCTTAGAGGTTATGACTAGTGATGTTTGGTCCTTTAGTTGGTGGAAATTTATAAGGATTTGTACGAATTAAGTAGTATGGCGTAAACTATCGTACGTAACTCGTCCAAAATGTGTGTACCGGACTCGTATGGTAATCCCGTACTCGACTTCGTCTCGCACGGGAACGACCACACTCGTCCGGTAAACACTTATTTTCAGGACTAGTAACGTAATATACTATTGTATTAGACTTGGCGGACTTTTTTAATTTTTTCACTGATAGAATCCTATTTTATTTATGTTTAGGATCAACTCGAAAATCAAATTTTAATGTCTATCGAACAAATTCTGAGGGTGTTCCATTGTTTAAAACCGAACTCGTCTTGTAGCACAGTAAATCTACAAAATGTCATCTTGATCCCTTATTAATGAGAACATTTCAAAATCTAATAACTCTTTCATAGGGCTCAAAATCCAATGAAATCAATAATTGTCTGAAGTTTAAATTTTTTTCATCAGATTGAAATAAAGTTATAAACAATTTTTACAAGAATTGAAAACAGAGTTTCTTTCTTATTTAAATCATTCCACATTTAAGTTAACAAAATTTTTCAATTAGGTACTTTATGTTTGTAAAACTTATAGTTATCATAAAGATTTGTACTATGTAGCAATACGTGTGGATTAAAATCACTCATTCATTTATTTTATTTGCCACTGACCACACCACAGAAAACGTACTACGTTTTCTGTGACCACACTATGCAGGAATAATATCAGGAGGGGAAGATACTTATTAGATGGAAATAACTGTGAATTGTGGACTAACAACTCCAGAGTGATTAATTTATAAAAAACCTACAAAGATGACAAGTATTATCAGTTGTTTTAATTTAAATTGATTTCATTTAATTGTAATAGGTGGTGTTATTAAAGCAATCTAGAAAAGTGCATAGAAAAGGTAACTGAATAAAATTTTAGTCTGTCTCAGCATTTACAATGACTGATTTGAATTTCTTAAAGTATGTGTTCCATGATACACACTGATTAGTATCTCAATAACCAATTTACTAACTTATATGTACAAACAGTCTTATGAAAGATAATTAATTGTAGTCTATACAACATTTTCAAATGATTTATTTTTACAATTGATAATTTTGTTTTTACATTTTTCATTGATTGAATGGGATGCGTTTGGTGACAGCTACATACTTACCAGAGCTCTTTACAAAAAATAGTATCTATGTCTTAAATTAAAAAAAATCATGCATAACTGATGTCAATTTAATAAATCTATATTTTTACTAGGTACAGACTTTTTTAACTTAAGGAATTCAATTTATTAAAAAAGGTAGGTAACGTAACCTTTCCTTCATATTAATTTATTGCACTTTTTTTAGTATTTTTGTTATCAATTAAGTAAGGATTTTCCCTTATGTAGGATTCCTTTATATGAGTAAATTTAATGGCACAACTATTTTAACAGTACCAGGGACATAGGTATTCTACAACTAATTTTGGTTCACCTTACAGAAACATGTGCAAGGATACCCACCAGCACCCCCTCCCCCAGATCATTTTCATAATGCTATGTACCAATCACTAAAAAACAAACACATCTTTTTAGTTTTGTCACCATTTTGGTGAACCCTAAAATTCAACTTAATCTTAATGAAATGTGTAACTAAATTTTAATGTTCAAGAAGGCCAATAATAATTTGTTTCACATTTTGTATTTAATAATTTTTTAACATTTAAATTTAGATACCTATACATTTCATCATTAATTGCCAATATCTCCAATATAAGTTAACTTAATCTTACTTCAAGTTTTCCTGGATTGTCTTCCTCAGTCACTAGTTGTAGAATCGTGATCTTCTCGTGATAACCACCAGAGCAGTCAGAATCGAACTATTCTTGACCGACATTTTGGTCTCGATGTAAAGTGCCATCTTCAGGGTGATTTGACTTCCACAGAGAAGACCACGATTGTACAACTAGTGACTGTGGAAGGCAATCCAGGAAAAATTGAAGTAAGATTAAGTAGTTGAATTTTAGAGTTCACCGACGTTTCGACCTTGATGTAGAGAGATGGAGCCTTCCAAATCGCCCTGAAGATGGCATTCTACATTGAGGCCGAAACGTCGGTGAAGGATAGTCGACTCTTTCTTCAAGTTGTATTCCAAAACTTTTTTTTTATGTCAGAGTTATTTTGTTACGGTTTTCTTTTGTTATAGATAATTGATTTTATTTATGTATTCTATGACTGGACGGCTTTACTTTTTCATTTACAGTGGCATCAAAGAGACAAACATAAATACCCGTTGGGCCATTGAATATTTAAAACTCGATTAAATAAGCTATTGGATCCTCTAAGCTATAAAATTTTAGTGCAAAATTAAGTGGAATGACCAAATTTTCACATTTGACAATACCCATCTTACATCTGATTTTGTATGATTTTATACAAAATCTAGATTTTTTCTCCGCTTGGTCTTTATTATAAAGGGATTGTCTGTTTTCACCCTACTGTATCAACAGATTTTGGAACATTTCTGATACTGTATTGTCTTGGAGAAAATGTTCCCGGGTTTTCAGAATCTAGAAAATTAATTTCTAACAAAAGTAGACTCTTTGGCCTTGATCCAGGCTTATCAGAGTAGTATCTTTTAAAATGCAGTCTCTACAAAACTGCCATGAGACTTCTGTCGGATCTTACTGATTTTATTGTCCGCTGTACAAAGCAGTACATTTACATGAATACTTCTATCTTTAAGGAAAAATTATCTTGGTTTTTGAGGTAATTATTCACATACTCGACAATTCTCCTACCCTGGAACATCTTTCACTGTAATGCCTCTTTTAATTGACCAAACAAGCGGAATCCACTAAGTGCTAAATCAAAGGGGATAAGTACTCGCTTTGTTGTACAGACCATATTGTTGTTGGTAAAACGAGTTAGTTGATCAGTTTGAGAAAGTGTTTTCTTGCCAGAATATCCCATAACCTTTCCAAGATCCATAATATTTCTCTTCCTTGGCTAGCTTCACCTCATGGTTCATAGTTCATAGTTATGGTTGTGTATTATATTCTTCTTTTCCAACAAGTTGACCACCAGCATCTGACAACGCCATATCCGCTATCCTGTGGTGGATTGTTTGGGCCTTTCCTGACAGGTTATGTCCTTTCGCTTTTTGATCATGGCGGATAGTTAGTTGTGAACCATACAATGGTAAAACCCAAAGTTTCATCATAAGTAAAAATGTTGTCGATGAAGTCCTCACCTATTTTCTTACCGGTCCTTCAGCTCTGCGCACCCTTTTGGTCTTATGCAGCTGCAACATCTTGAACCATGTCAACTTCATCTTGCACTTGATCAACAGTACTTCAACTTTTTACCAATTAACAAATTATGAATCATAGCCGGCCAGTACTATGTTGAACTGTATCAACTGCCCTTCCTCAATGAACTGGAGGTCAGCATGGTGTGTGTAGTCCTCAATATGACTTTTAGAGATGTGGAATTCAACTGTTTGCCAGTCACAGAGTTCAAACTGTTATCTTGATGACCAAAGAGTCTGCAAGTCATCCACTTTTAGCAACATTGAGGAAATAAAAGTTGTCTTCCAATTTGACAGGAAGTTGTATGTTACACCAAAATTCTTCATTCTCAAATTTTTTTACTTTTTGTCTGACACGTGTCAAAATCTTTGTCTTATCCTTTAGGTATTTTATGTCAATCTTTCAAAAACCTCAAACACAACTAATCTTGATAAACATAGTGGTGGAAATCAACGCAAGACCATAACTTTTTCACACACATTTTACTTTTGTGATGTGTTTTCTCTAAATTCTCCATTGAAGTTTTTTAGTCACTTTTGAAATAAAAGGGTTGAGTTTTAACTTTGTATTTTTCCTGTCACTTCATTACCTACACTTTTTATAGACCCAGAATATCCAACATTGATTGTTGAACAGTATATTATTTTTTAACCTTGGGGATTGAAGTACATCGACATATGTAGTTGTCTTTTAGCTGATTTTGTAGTTACTTGAATCTGAAGTATTGAAAATCGCATAAGCCAAATAATCAACAAATCTCAGATGAGAAATTTACGGTTTATGTAATTATTGACAGTTTCAAAGCATTCATTTTTATATTGTCAGTTATATCTCAGATCTCCATCTCTTAAACAACTGATAAACAATCGCTTAAATTATATATTGGTACAGCTTTGTAGATTTACTTTTTTTGAATTAGATTACTGGAAGTTTAAAGAGAATATCTCAACTTTTCAATAAGTCTGATAGGACGAATAGTTATTTGTTTTGTTACCTAATAAATCACTAAGTTTAAAAGTGTTGTGTTTTGTACAATTCTTTAAGTTACAAAATATAAAATAAAACATTATTTTTTAACATTGCAACTCTGAAAAATTTACCTTTGTTTTTGCCAATTTTAATCAATCTCCCAAAGACCAAAATATGACAGCCTACTCCAACCGTGGAAAAGTACTTTCTGGTTAAAAATTCATTTTATTTTTATTTACTTTTTCATCTAATGAACACAAAAAAGATCAAACCCCGGTTTACCAGTTGCTCACACACAGTAAGGACAAAAGTAAATCATAAATTTAATATACACTGTTCAGGTTTGTTGCAAACCATACACCTGTTCGGTCAACTTTCCCAATAAGATGCTACTTTTAAATTAACACACCTTTTCAATTTACATCAAGCCTGGAACATAAAATGAGAAAGAAAACGAGATGGAATTCAGACCCTCGATTAAGATTCTGTCTTGTAGCCAAGGAAACAAATTTTTACACCGCTCAACTTTTGATAGACCGCTCTCATTAATGTCAGTGAACCAATTATTTCATTACTGAACCAACACTTTGGCTACGAATTAATCATTGATGTCATTAAACATATGTTCACTAGCATATGTCAGGCACAATCTTCAACCATTTTGATTGAATCATGTTTGCGATTATAACACTTTGTCGATGTTTTGTTAGTCATATAAATTTGTCGTTAGGACTGAATATTAACGACTATATACACAGCAGAAGTACCTGGCGTTAATTAATTTGCTGTGTTCCATTGACAGGTCTGATTGATGGACGATTAAATACTTTTTGGGTCAAAGGAAAAGTCACCTTGTCCATGAGACAATTCTGTTTATGGAAGATTTAAATTCAGTTTCAATTGTGACCTCTAAAGAACAACTCAAAAGAATTCACGCTCGTTTACCCAGAGAAGTGGCACAAAAAGAATTGTGCTTAGGTGGTGACATATCAGGTGAAAGGATTTAGCAAGCTACACATTTAGATCAGGCATTTTACGACTTTTGCGTATACAGATATTTGCATCATTTCATTAGACACATGTGTCCTGTTGTGTGTTTTAACTTCTAAACCGAGTTAACCTCAATTAGATGTACAGATTAGGCCTAATTGATTTCTGATTGGAAATTTGTCTGTGTAAAGATTGAATAACCAGCATTGATAACCTTAAAACCCCGAATTACTTCAACATTGATTAAATGGTTGCATTTGCTTCAACTGAACCATTGCATGGGTGTGTGTGTGTGTTGAAATTGGAAGCAGCAAAAAAACTGTTGTAATACGAATATTGTTTATACCGTGATCAGATACAAATTTTTTTCAAGTTTCAGTCACTATTCAGAATAGATGTACAAAGCTGTAGCCAATGTTCATTCTTCAATATGATAATGAATTTGATGGATTAATGCATTAGTACCATTGAATGAGTCTTCATAACAAGATTCTTTGTAACTCCCCTCTAATTTTTTTTTTATGATACTACAAGTTAATTTGTATATTTTAAAAAACACCCTGCAATTTAAATTTGGTGCGAAAACAAATTTAGTCTTTGTCAAAATAAATTCTTTCAACTGAAAACACCATCCGGATTTATTTATATTACTGGTCTTTGGGACAACGCTAAATTAATTGTCAGCTAAGTTGTGCGTATTTAAACAAAACTAATCCCTTTTGACTGTTTCATTTTATTCTACGTTAAATTCCCTTATCTATTTTGGAATTGAAAAAACTAACTTTTGAGCCAACAAAACTGTTGTGGTGCTTTTGCTTGATATAACCCTCATGTCTTGTCATTCAATATAACTTTTTTCTTTTCACTAATTTGCATGTTTCCACACTATTCCATGTCATTGACAAGTGTCTTTTGGTTCATTCACTTACATTTTCTCGCATTCCTCAGCACTTGGTTCACCTTAGCTTATGCTCCAAAAATATTCATTGTCTTGTAGCACTACTACACATTGATTTCCAATATTTTAATTTTCCTTTTCATGCAATTCCAAGATTTTTAATGGAATTTCCTTTATATACATTGAAAATCGGTTTTTGAATATTCACTTAAAGCCACTGCTAAACCTATTTTGTTCAAATAAGTGTCGTTCATTGCGTCCAGCCATTTAATACATAATTTATAACCCAAATAGGTTTTTTATTTCAGAAAAGCAGCCCTATATCCATTAAACGATTAATCCTCATAGACAAATGCAATTTTTCAAATATAAAATAAGAAACATTTTATTTAGGGTTTTTGTATATCCACATAGCAGTTTTCTTTCGTTTTTAGAAATTTCAAATAATCTTTAAAATACTCATCTATACTTATATTGTAATTCTTTAAAATATTAATTTGTTACTGTTGTAATGCAAAAATACCCAAATTTATTTTCGGTATGAATTTTTCTAAAATATGGTTGCTATTGATGATAAGGTTAGCATAATGTTCAATGTTTTTAAGAATAAAACTTTTTTTAGTAATGAAAAAGAAGAAGAAATACTTACTTGTATTGTTTTAAAGAAGTATAACAAATTTCGATATTCTATGGACAAAAGTTGCGACACTAGTTTATTTTACAAGGGAGGCTGGCAAAATTTCTAAAGCGATTCAAGGAAAAAATATCTCTCGTTACTGTAATAATGGTACTGAATTCTATTGTACATAACAAATAACAAATTTAGAAAACTGAACATTTAATCTATGGAATTTAAGTTCACTAATTTAACAAATACACATTCCTACAAAACAGATACACAAACTAAAGAGGGTGATTTTCTTTCCAATAAGTGGGCAAATACTTTAAAAGTGACATTTCCTTTCTTTAAGCATGTAATAAAACATATTATTGTAGAACCAAAGTTAACGTATTCTCGTATTTGCCCACTTTTAGAGAGGAAAGGCTAGCGTAAAATATCAATAAAACACACCTTCCCAAATTATTTTGTTTTTTTTACACAGTCCACTAAAGTTAAAGTACATGAAGTAGAAGATCTGGTGGGCCTTCGGCTTCATCCTGAGATTTAGCGACTAACAACTACAGAATTGTAGTTTGAAAAGAAATTAAAGCAGACGTCACTTGATAAAACAATAACAATAATTGTAAAACTACCACAAAAATATACAAAAGGAAAAATCTGCAAAATATTACAGCAGTGAGATAGATAATTTACTTAACAGCATTAAACATACAAAAAATAGTTGCTGCACCGAGCTGATTAAACTAGACAATTAGTATTCGACCATTTGAAGCATAAACTGCAAAATACAATCTGTTCAGTAATTGATTAGCCAAGTCTGATACTTATCCATAAGTATGTACTTATCATAGTTAAATTCCTTAACAGGTAAAGATAATTGTATTAACTGAGCATTTTACAACCATACAACATTTTGTAAATTGCCCTTACGTTATTAAAAGAATGAAACATAAACTAATTTTACAATATTGATTTGACGAATAGTTGAATTTTACAAATAAATGTTTGGTTTGTAATCCAAAGTAAAAATGAATCAGTATAGAAAAAAAATATTATCAAACAATATTAACATAGCAAACACATACTATGCAAAGTATTATTTCAAATGCTTGTTTTTAAAATTGAATTTAAATTATAAATGTATCTACACCAAATTAAATCAATTCATTCTTAGTAATATATTCAAATTTTTTTGAAAACACCGTATGTGAGGATGTACAATGAAGACTTCAAAGCCAGAAAAAGTACTTTTAACTAGAAAACTAAATCGCAAACCCTTAAAGAATATAGATAACTATGCCATCAACAAAATCAGTGGTAATGCAATATATCCTAGGAACTATAATACATAAGATGATAGCTCAAAACAAAACATGATAAATATTTTCATATGACTAGTTTAGTGAATTAAATTTATGAGTTCCATATTAAACAAGTAATACAATTAAACAGCATTCAGTAAATATGCTATCTCAAATGTAAAAATGCAAAACACATACATATTTTAGCATACTCATGCTCAATTGAGAATAACTAAATTTGTAACAAGTAGCCTACCAAATAATATTAATACATATTATTGATAGGCCTAAACAGCTTAATTTTTACCACCAACAAAATTTTTAAATATTTAGCTTATTCCATAAATGCCCCTTTGGCTAACACAAGCTGAATTGTACATGCCTGATCTATTATTGATGAATTTGAAAAAAAAGATTAATAACAATAATTTGAATAACCAATATTTCAACAGACATTTTTGTTAAAACGGTTTTCCTTATTTCAAAACCATAATTTGAATAACCACAACCCCTAAAACAATTACAAACACCGTAAAAACAGTAACTCATACATTTTGGTGCAGCAACCCAACAAACATAAAACGTTTAACAGTAGTTTTAAATCTCTTACACTATTACAACTAACCCTTTGCGGTTGAATCAACTAACCCTTAGAGTTTGAATGCAGGCTAGGTCTACAATATGCAAAAAACACAAGGTTATTATAGAAATTAATCATAAACATTCAAAATACCTCAAGACAAACATTAAAAGATATATAGATACATTCACCAATGTACTCATAAATTAGATGTCCGAATTTTACAAAAATCAAATGATGGCCTATGCATATTCATCACAAAATAATAACTTGGGGCGTCCTCGACATAATTTCAACCACAAAGGGTTAAAACGTTAAAACCTTACGCTACACAGTCTTATATACATTAATGTACTTATTTACAACGTTATCTTTACAAAACAGCCTCAAAACTTACCATCCGCCAAATCGTGGAGGTCGGTTTCCGCGAAACCACGGCGGACGTCCTCGGAAGTTGCCGTCAGGTCGAAACCTCGGACCAACCATGGGGGGTTGTCTCGGCCTCGGACTCTGGTTATTCTGCCATTGAGGAAACCTCGGCCTCGGATTGTTGAACCTCGGAGGGAACGGTCCTCTGGGTGCATTCGGCTCTTGCAGTGTCGGTATCTGCTGCACCAAGCTTGGCGGCACAGGCGGAGGCAGAGGTGGTGGCGTCAATTTCTTAGTTTCGTTGATCTCTGTAAAGATTTCGTCCACATCCGGAAGCGGAGGGGGTTCAGGTAACTTTGGCGGCGGAGTCAACGTGACACTCAACAGTTTCTTTTTCGGCTCTTCCCTCTCCTTCAGCGGAGAGTCGACCAGAGGTTTGACACTCGGAGCCAAAGAGAAGGAGACACTCGTTTGCGTCTGGGTCTTTGACTCAGTGTCCATTTCCTCATCTGAACTCATCTCCATGTCCACACTTTCCACGTTCACGTCTTGAGTACCTCGTTTGGGAGCCAGTGCCATTTTTCTGAAGCATAAATCATTATTTACTAATTGTTTGCAACAATAAAAATACAAGTGTTTGGGGGAGTTGTTTCCGCCAATGAATTGCTACAGAATTTGTTTAGTCCAAAAGTAAATAACATATTGTGCAAAGCCAAAAAATTTAAAAAAAATATTTAACAGGTTGTTGAGAGTTGCTTGCTATGGTTTTGTTGAAATGAAATACAATATACATATTTCACTTTTTTAACTTAGGGTCGGGTTCAAAACGTCAACTATCGGGTCTCGAGAGAAAATAAGGATGCTTTTTGAAAGTATTGATTTTTAATTAAAAATAACAATTGTTAAACTGCATCAGTTTATAAAATGGTGTAGGTACATTATTTCCTGCAATTGCTGTGAAATTGTGAAGATCTCCTGAGTTTAAGGCAAAACTATGAGCATCTGCGTTCACAGCACAATCGTGATAATATCGAGAATAAAATCTTGTCTTGAATTAATGATGATTAGTCTAAGCTAGGCACGAAAATCGAGCTGTTCACACTTGGCTTCCTTTCTTGGTTGGCTTCAGAATTTGGATTTTTATGTTGATTATTACCTTATTTATGTGTATTGATTAAAATTGATTTATTTTTGGGATTTTTGGGAGAAAAACTATGATGACAAGAGTGGTGAAAACCTTTATACTCTTCGTGATCTTTAAAAAACAAAATAGTTGAAACACATGTTGGCAAAACCTTTCTTTATTACAAAGCCTGTAGGCCTAACCTATTTGTAAAATTATAAATAAATCCAAGTACTGTAATTACTTACCTGTGAGGGAAAAAATAAAATTGTATACAAATTGTAAACTTACCTGCGGTGTAAAAAAATTAAATTTTTTACTAACGTTAGGTTTTTCTATGTTAAATGAATAAAGCTTCCATCAAAAATTAGCTTGCTATTTTGTTACGTTTCACCCCCTTTTATGAAATAGCCCAGAAAACTTGTTTGGAATAAACAGAAAATCATTTATCTAACACATTTTTTAGCGTAGGATAAAAAAAAATGTTGCGAACAATTAAAAATGAAACTGACTGCTTAATTTGAGATTTTCAGTTCCCAACAAAACTGTAGCTGAATAAGATATTTAAAGGAAAATTGTTATTTTGAATACCTACAAAAATATCATTTAAATTTTGTTATTAACTTACCATTAGCATTTTCTGCATAGAATAAATCTATGAATAGCCTAGTCAGTAATAATTTGGGAAACAAAATCATTTATTTTCCTTACTTGAAAAATAACTTCAACTTATTTTGTTTACTTGAACCATAGATATGAGCCAAATACGTTATTTAATGAGTCTGTTTTTTTACAGCAATACAGTAGAGTCCCGCAAACTCGGCACTCGATAACCCGGCAGTCTGGATAACTCGGCCATCACCTGGCCTAGAAAATCAGCGATTTTTTGAGTCCGAGTTAAACATGGACTCAAGCCAAATCATTCGCAGGTCGTACCAAGGATTTGTTGTACTATATCTGATGACTTAATACTAACTTGTAATATAAATATAAATAAAAGAGGCAGTTTATAAGCTTAAAAATTGTATTGTTCTTATTTTTAACCCTAGTTCCCGATGACCCGGAATTTCACAAACTCGGCACCCTTCCAGTCCACATTACGCTGAGTTTGCGGGACTCTACAGTTTTAGATATTCTTTCATGCTATTTTTTACTTATTCAAAAATGGAATTTTAAATAATTTATTCTTTGGCAGCAACAAATACAAGCATGACCTTTTAATATTTCTAGATGAAATAGTAGTTAATTCAGGGTGTCCGGCATTACAACAAAATAAAATTCGACAATTACGGGTTTCCCAGGCTCAAAATTAAAAATGTCCAGGGAAAAACTTGACGCTGAAATACGCAATAGTCACTTGTTTATTTACACCTGCAGGTACATTAAAAACCCTTTGGCGAATTCTATGACAACTTCTTCCGCTTGCAGCAACATCGGTGATCTTAATTTTCGATCAAAGCAAACGTTGTGTTGATTTCTCACGATCACAGAAACATTCGTGATGATTTCAGGCGATCACGGTAAAATCTGTGATAATTTCTTGCGATCACGGCGACACACGTTATAATGTCTTTCGATTGCAGCAACATCCGTTTATCTTACCGGTGATTATGTCAACACCTATGATTATTTCTCACGATCATGGCAAGTACTGTGATTTCTACGGCGATAATAATTTGTAAGGGTTGTCTATATCAATGTGTTATCAGCAGTGTAGGATTTACCACTTGACGAATAGGCTACAGCGTTTTGTACAAAACCATTTTTAGAACAAAAATGTAATCATTTGTTGCAATCGTGGGTGACGATGATGATGTAACCTTGATAGCAGGGGATTTTCACAATTCCAAAGTTCCAATCCTATAGGATGAGGGATGCTCAAGTTAATTAGGCCTAGTGCTGCAAATATCCTGAATCTGACATTGGTTTTCATAAAATATATTCTTGATTATTAAAATAAACTTGCCAAAGCAGAACTGGATCTAGCACAAAAGATGATGAAAAATATAGTAAAATATTAAAAAATTAGATTTTAACATTGACCTCTTTCAAAGTAAGCGTTCAATAAACACAAAATGAGCTCACACACTTTCATAGTTTCAAAGACATCATCATCACGGATTAAAAAATAAACAACAAATTATACAAATAAATATACCAACAATAAGAAACAACTAAATTAATCATTTTACTTTTATTAATTGAAATAAACTAACTAAATATGTATTAGCATTTAAGTTATATGGAGTAAATAGGAGACTACAGAAAACATTTGGGGAAAATAGGTGGCGATTAGCTGGAGGAGTTATCAATTGTTTGAGAATTGAATACGTATTTATACGTATTTTATACATAATATACACACTCACTTGAATACGTATTTATACGTATTTTATACGTAATATACGCACTCACTTGAATAAGTATTTTTAATTGAATATGAATACAAGGTGCAAGTAGAATGGAGTGAGTTGTACCTTTGTTACTGTCTAAAATCAGCTGTTCTATTAGTCAGGACTGTTAAAAACTGATAAAGGACAGTCGGGTTTAGTAACGAACCATCAAAAGCTACTAACTTTTCTCAAAATCGAACCGATTATGAATAGTACCAGTGGCATTATAAAAATTCTGATTAATTGCCATAGGGAAAGTAAAAGCTATGCTAAACTTTTCTGACCTTATGCTCAGTTCAAGCTTCTAGGATAGGTTCGGCTAAAAAACTGAACCATTTGCACAACTCTAGTAATAAGTATTAGAGCGAGTCCAGGTACTGACTAATGTCTCCAAGTGACCTAACCTAACCACAACCTTTGACTATTGATGGAACTAGACATTCCATCTCTATGTTCAAATAAATGGACAACACTGAATTGAGCCACAAAACTGATGTATTACTGATATGCAAACTTTCTTACCAAGTCAAACAGATAGGACGACTTATTGTTAGCTATAGTATCTTTAATCCGACAACTATCTTAGTACCAAAAGTTAAGTAGAAAACAGAATTTAGCTGGCTCATTCAACTACAATAAAAATTGGTAACAGCTGGGCTATACAGATGAATTGTCTACTTCAATATCCAATCAATGCTACAACTATTCACCTGTAGTCGGTGTCCTGGTTGTTGGCCCAAGGGTTCTCGTCCCGAGGCGAAGACGTCAGACTGATGAGGTTGCGGTGGTCAATGTCGCCTTGCACCCGAACAGACCTCATATCTGTATCCGTGTCACCAAGTGTCAATGAATCTGGCTCTTCAAACTCAGCCGGCCCTCCAAACCTGTGGGTCAAAGGATAAGTCAGACAAATTTTAGAGCCAGGAAACATTGAAACTTCATTTGAATTAATTTCAGAATATTAACATGTACAATTTTTAGGTGAGTTGACTAGCATACTTTTCATAAGGTAAGATTTTAAGAGCAGAAAAACGCTTGTTCATAATCGGAAAATGTTATTTATATATCTTTAGATATTTTTATACTTTTTCTGGTGTTAAATAATCCACAAAATTCAAAATTGAAAAGAGAGAAAGAAGAGAAAAACTGAAATTCGTCACATCTAACTAGACCGAGACAAAGGTATCAATCAAGAAAAGTCTTACGTACAGTAGTCAAAAATCTAATTGAAAATGGTCACACACAGCACATAAAAATGGAAAACAATATGATAAAAACATGCCTCAAAGGAAGAAAAAATGTCTGCAAGGGATGAATTAAATATCAACTCCATCATAAGATACAAAAACATCAAACAACTGGGAAGAGATCAGCAATATCGTGAATATCACACATCAACATTGTCACTCGTAATCGCGGAAACATGGCCATTGTCACTTTTGATTGTGTGAAATAGTTGAAACAAATTCCATCCCTAGAAGTTCAGATTCACAATCCTAGTTCAAAATTCAAGAATATTTCCCCCCCAAAATTCCATTACTACACAATTAATTTTTATACCTATAGATTTAATCTATGTGTAGAAAAAAAAAACTATACATGTTAGGTAGTTTAGGTTAGGTAAGGTAGTTGGATAAATGAAGATATTACGGTCACTTTAAAAACAGGAGGAGTTTAATTTCTTCTTGAAACACTAAAGTAAAGACACTTAGAGTAGAAAACGTCTATTTTACCTAAAATTAAAGCATCAAATAAATCTAATGACTATCAACACAAGACACACACCCAGATTTCTCGTAGAGAGGAGGCGAAGCAGGAGTGTCAGGCCAGTTATCACCTTGTCCCCACGTGGGAAACTTGGGAGGTAGAAGAGGTGGCTCGGCCAGGGTGGTGGGGGGCAGTGGTGGCGGGGGTAACGTGATGGGGGGAACTGTTGGAATCTCCAAATCCCCCCGGGGAGCAGGAGGGGGCTGCATACTGATAGCCTTCAGTATCTCACTCAGATCTGGCTGTTTAGTTCTGTTTATCACTTCTATTGGTTTCCCGCCCTGCGCAACAAACATACAATGAAATAATATAGAGCAAATAAATTCAATAAATATGTCTTTGTTGTTACATACACATTGAGAAAAAGTACCCTAGGCAAAGGACCTAGGTTTTCAGGGCTTTTATGAGGATTTATTTTTTTGCAACTGTCACTGCTTTAGTTTATAGTTTAAAAAAATTAACCACTTTCAAGCAGCATAATAAATGTGTCTGATGGGAAAAATAAAAACGTTTTTATTCATTGTACTTTTATGCACAGTATATTTTTCATTAGTGTATATTTCTATATTTACTTTTTCGGTTTGGAAACCTTAAAACAAATATTACAACAGAAAATTCAGTCAAACAGCACTATCATCCCTTACAAACAATATTAGAAAATAAAACCAAGGGTCCATGAATCTTTGTTTGGGTCAAACACTTTCAAAATAGAAGATACCGTAGGTAATTGTTGTAGTCTTAACAAATTTTTCTCTATGTGTAACTGACAACCCTCACAGCTTTTAAATATGTGCGTTAAGAATAAAGTTATTTTGACCGATTGATTGATTGCTTCATCATTGTGTTAGTGTCTAGGACTTCACCAAAAGAAGAATGAGTCGGTCCCCACCGTATCCACAAGAGTTTAAACCACTTTCTATTTAAAGTGTTTAATGTTCTCAACTCAGTAAAAAAAACCACTAATATAGAAAAAAGTCTAAGCCTACCTCTTGATTGGAATCAGAGAAGTAGTGGGAAGTATTGTCATCAAGTCCTTCGAGTGGTGGCGAAGCGGGTGTATCGTCACAACTCTCGGAAAAAAGCCCTTTCTGTAACCAACAACACAGAGCATTAGTGTAAAATAAAATAAAATAATTGTGAATCTCAGGTTCTTTATAAAATTTTAATATTGAATCTCAAATCAACATTTTTAATTTCTAAGTATTTTACTGATCTCAATTTTGTCTTTGTGAAAAAGTTATTTTCTTGAGGGAGAGTATAGGTTGAGGTCCTGACAATTCCAAACAAAAACTCAACTTTAGGAGACAAAATTTTTCCCCCAATGTGATTGGTCTTCTTTTAGGTATCAAAATCATAACAATTCCATGGTACCTAACCTATCATCAGGGTTACGTGAAATGAGCCACCAACTGGATACTGGATACTACACAATAGTAGTTTACGCAACGATTGCGTTAAGTGAGTCTTTCTTCGAGTGTCGTAAAGACTATTAACGCGAGTTGCGTACACTACTTTACCTACGACCGTTTTTTAATTACTATCAATCTGGATTTAATTACTAACAATCACTAATGATAACTTTTTAGAGAGGTTATGTTTTCGTGTATTGTCATTGCCACTGAAAGTGATGCAACGACTTGTTGTATAATCAGCTGATTTCCTGTAATTACGTGTTTGTTAAACTTCGTTAAATATTACATTGCTAGCAGCATTCTTACCATAAATAATATTGTATCAGGTACAATTCGGCAAATATTTCATTTATTTTTGGACTTCCACTAACTTAATTAAGAATACGCGAGTATCAACATGAACAAGTCGGATCAACAATTAAATTGGTCAACTGATCAGCTGATCAGCTGATTAGTTGACGTTCGAAGCATTACAATTTTAATTCTTTTCTCTCAATACTTGAACCTCATTGGTCCGTTACCTGTGTGGATATGAGAAAACTATGCGGATATGAAATGAAACTATGCGGATATGAAAGTAAACAGCTGTAAAGTGAAACTTTTCAATTCTAAGAACTGGACTGAAATGGCTACTTTAAAAAACGGTCGTAGGTAATAGTTATTTTTTCACTCAGAGGGGTTGATTTGATACAACTATTAGAGGTTGAAATGAGGAACAACAGATGATCTCTCATATAGCTGTCATTTAGGTTTTAGATTATGAATCAAAAGTGAATAGAAAACTAACTAGTGAAAGGAGAATTTTTTATAAACATATAGCCACAACAAACTGGAACACATCAATCTATATTTTTTATTCAATTGTTATCTAGGAACTGTAACTGTATCTACGTAGTTAACTAGATAGTTAAAACCATTGACTTTCAATAATACAAGTAGACTACTCATCCTATTTTAAATACTGAAGCCTGCTTTCATTGTTTCACGTTGGTATAGCATTTGGAGAGTGCTAATGTTGACTTAAATGTTTTCTCTCATATCAGGGTGGACTTTAGATGATGTGCTTCCTCATTTATCTTTGTAGGTCAATGTATTGTTTAGTTAGTTATCTCTGGTAGGATAAGTTAAATAACAAGAAATGGAAAGTAAACGAAACTCCCTCCACACAACCTCGATGGAACATGGGAATTGTCAGCTGACAGCCTGATCCATAAGAATGAGCTATGAGAGAATATGTTAAATAAGTGGTAAAACCTACCTGGAAATCAAACGGTAAATTCAGATTTCCCATAAAGCTGCTGAAGCCACTACCAGAGCCCAATTGTGCCGGGGCAGAAGAATCTTCATTGAGTGAATTCTCCGACTGTAAGAAACTATCCAACCCGTTCACATTGGTGGGTGGACAATCTTCCCCCAGTAAAGGTGGAACGGTTAGGTTGTTGGATGAGTAGAAGGGTCTATAATCCTCGGTGGGAGGGGGAACGGTATAATCAGGCGGAGGAGGAACCACAGGTGGTTCGTCATATCCTGAGTATTTCCTCGAAGATTTCCCCGTATCGTAGGTGGAAGTGTTTGTCGTTGTTGGTATATAGTCTGGTGGTGGATTGTTGTAAGGAGGGTTGGATCCATTTCTCGAGTCGGAGAAGGTGGGAGAGGGGTTTCTTGGATTCGGGTACACCTCGGGGGGAGGCGGGTTGGCTCCAGGAATGTGATAAGAGTCTTGGGAATTACTATCGTACGAATTCATCTGATCGTTTTCTTCCGGGTTGTAATAGTTCGTAGCATAACTCGCCTTGTAAGGCGCAGAATACGTCGTAGGTTTGTACGTGGGTTTCGCTACAGGCTGGTAGGGAGAGTTTGACGAGTAATTGGATGCAGAACTAGAAGAGAGCGTTGGAGTAGAGATATGCGTAGCAGGCGGAGGTGAGTTGTAAGACTTCGGGGACGATTTCCGTTTGAAACTTCTCGGAGGAGTTGGTGGTTTGTAGTTCAGCTTAGCTGGACTTCTCGATCGACTCGGACTGTCGATGAGGGAGTATATAGCTTCTGTTGGGTTAGACAACTTTACGTTTTCTGGAACTACCAACTTCCCCATGAACGAAGTCGCCACCGAGTAATTACCTGTAAAAAGAAACTGAATTGTATACAACAGGCAAAACTGTACTTGACAGTTATAGTAGTAGCATTTTTGCAAAAGTATAGTGTTGCCTTTAGTAAAACCTAAAAATTCAGATAAAGAATTATATATAAGGATATTGTGAAATTGCAAAAAAAAAAAAAAATGATATGATAGTTTGTGTTGATTCAGATTATGGTAAAAGTAATGATTAAGAAAAATTGCCCAATGGAAATTTTAGAATCGGTTTTTAACTTTTAATTGATGCTCATTGAACCCGACAACAATCAATCAAATGAATACCAAACAGTTCTCATGCAAATTAATGTACAATAGTAAGGGCTCAAGAAATCACTACTGTTAAGTGATGTTTATAATGTTGGCAAACTAGCATTTGTGCTTGATTATTAATGAGGATATAGTTGCATTTGTGATTGATTATTAATGAGTAGAAACTTTCATAGGTGTCAATATTAAAAATAAACATAAAAATCACTCACTTACAAACTATTACATGCAAAAAATGTGTTTAGGCTCATATTTCACTTTTCAATATGTTATCGTTTTATAGATTAAAAACTGGAAACATTAACAAAACTTCTAAGGTTTAAAAGAAGTTAATCACTAATTTCAACATTGGTACAACTTTTAAGTAAACAGCAAAATACATTAGGAGAAAAATATAAAACTTGTGCTTCATGCAAAAATATTGGTGATGTGTTATTTTTTATTTTATTTTTTTTGCATAGCTATAGCTTAATTCTGAGCACAAAATACATACTGAGCCAAATGTATTTAAAATTACACCCTTTAAGGTCGATTCACACACATCATTTACGGCAGTCACAGTTAACAAAAATTTTCTTTAATGGATTTTCTATAGTGCTATCTACACCCACCTCCGTCAGTAGCTTTGCATGCGTCTGTCAGTCAATTTCAGATTTCTTTTTACTGATATTTTTGGATTGTTCGAACGCCTGACAGACGTGTTTGAGGTTATAAAATAATACTTTTTTTATTTAAATGATCGATTTTATATTTTAAGTTTAATGTTTGTAACAATCAACAAGACGAACGATGAAAATTTGATGGAATATTGTGTTTTAACTAAACATTTTTGACTTTAACAACACAGCAAATAAAGTGACGGGAGAGTGACTGCAACAAAATAACTGACAGTTTGACTGAGGAATTGTGGATGCAACTGTGACTGGACTGTAACTGTACTGTAACGGAACTGTGACTGGACTGATATGTGTGAATCGACCTTAATAGGTTTCACAGTATGTTATAAATGACTTAAAGATACTGAAGTAGACGACCTACCTTATGGGCTAGATGTGGCCAATTTTCGTTAAAAAATAACATACTCGAATGACATCAAAAAAATTGAACTAATGTAAAAAATTATTGATATTTTGATGGATTAAACACATGGTGTAGTTTAGTTTGACTTGGTTGAATACTTGGTCCTATTTTATTAGGTTATTTATGCCAGCCCACACTGATGCTGGCTCAGTCCATAGTCAAAGATAATATCAAAGACTTGCCTTTGCATAAAACTTACTTGAGTTAACAAGATTTTAATAAACTTTTCGCTAAGTAACTGGTCAGGTTAGCTCACCGTTTTTCTTTGGTAGTCAAGAATTCCTATACAGCCAATATCTTCTTCCCTCAGCTGATGCTCCTTAGCAAAACAATAAAACTAATTTGGAGCATGTTAATCAAACTTAGGTGTCAAGTCAATAAGAAAGTTGGTTAGTTAGAAGGACAGAAAATAAAGTGGGAATAGAATTTTCGGGCTGGGCCAGGCCAACAATTGAAATTAATTGAGGAATTAAAATAACTTTTTAGATAAGCTTTTAATATTGTGACCGCAAAAAACTTCTTCACAGATTGCACGATCAGAAATTCACAATTCTGCCACGACTACGGAAGATGTTCACGAATTTACTGATCGCAGGGTAATGAAAAGCATTTTACAAACGGATAAGTAAAATCAGTATTTTCAAAGCGAATAGCTGTTGGCCCAAGACCCGAATGTCAAAATTTTTACCCAACCCGAAGTAATAAAGTCTGGTCCGCAGACCTAATAAGATAAAGAGAAATTTACACAATAATTAACATGCACATTTGAACTTAAGGGCAGGGAATGTACTTAAGAATTACTTAAGAAGCAGTTGAGTCTTTGTTACGCTGAAAACAATCTCCGTTTCCATCAAATGCTAAAGATTAAGATAAAGTAGTGTTAATGGTTAATTTTTTGTCAACTACTTTAATGCAGTTCTTGTTTGAAGTCTAAATAGAAAAACATAAGATGGACATATTCTAATAAGGAGCATCACAGACTTTTGAGGGTTGTAGTAAGAATTTGAATAAATGCTGATTAATTTTACTGCGCAGTTTGTTTGTGGATTTATTTCTTTCAAATGAATTAAATCATCTTTTTTTAGGAACATCGGATTTAACACAGAGCAAGGAGCCTAGAGTTTTACGATTTTTGTATGAGGATAGCAGGATTTTACAAGAATAGGTAAGCCTGATATCACAACATATTTTTGTAACTATAGGTCGGCCGCTTAGAAAGCGACCTCTTCGTAGCATTGGTGCGAGAGAGAAATACCGAGCTGTGGTGTGAGACAGACTATGACTCTACCCTCACTCGGCTGCTTTCGCACTGCACGACATGACAATGGCACGTCATCGACACGGCACCGCCCCGGTGTCATGGGAGTTGGAATCCTGCATTACCAAATGGAACTGCTTACACACACACCGGCGTGTCGTGTCGTGCAGTGTGAAAACGGCCGGCGGAGAGGGGGAACATACCCTCCCTCGCTGTTTCCTCCCCTACATGCGCTAGAAATCCTCGCGCAGGTCACTATCTATCCGGCCGATATCTTATGTTTCTTTAGTAGGGTCTAAGCTTCTAAACGGGTTCCACCTGGAGGGGCTTTATATAATAAACAGAGATATTTACAACTTCTTTAATTAAGATTCAGAGATTTATTTGATCCAAACCAAGTCAAACCTTTCTTTTACAACAGTTTTAGTAGGTACTCAAATTCAAAACTACCATTTTAATGCAGGATTTTTACCAATTTAACAAAGCATACGTCAGCCAATAAAATAAAAACCCAAATTATAAAATCAAACACAATTAAGATTGATAAGCACACATGTTAGCAGTGTTGGCAGTGATATCGGTTTACTTAGGTTCAGATTTGACATAAAATGAAAAATGTCAATTTTATTGGGTTTTGAAATGTATTTATCATATGAACTACCCAGAACTACTTTCTTAGGTTAGTTAATTTGAATTGCAGAATAAAAGGGGGTAGTGGTTAGCTGGGATTAAATGTTACGTGTTTTATGTGTCTTCTGTACGTTTTCTACGACCTCCTAGTACAGTAGAACCTCTTTAATCAAAACTAATTGGGACCGGGGGTAGTTCGAATTATTGAATAGTTTGGATTACAGAACATATTGTTGTTTTTACATAACAATAGCTAGGGAAAAGTGAAAAATGCTTTATAAAGTAAAATACAGTGTTTATTTAGTACAGTAGTAAACATAGGGAATAAACAGTACTGTACATTACAATTGAAATAATTACGGTGCGTATATCAATAAATAGAGTATACAGTATCTACAATATCTACAATAGAAAACTACTGTTCTGTGTATAGAGTACAGCAATGAGGCGTTCGGATTAGTGGACGTTCGGATTACAGGGGTTCGGATTAAGGAGGTTTTACTGTACTTCTAAGGTAAGCTAACTGCTATCCTCTTTTTTCGATTCAAAATCCTAGCCTAGAGCCTTTCCTTGAAAAAAATTGTGTACGTTAGTTTTCTGTGAAAATGCCAAATTGGCACCTATCTTTTTCCTCAATTTATGTGATTTTTCTTCTTTATTTAGCATAGTGGGCTTATATTAATGGTAAAGAATGCATTCTGGCATAAAAAACACAAACTGAGCACACTTTTTACCAATATTACAAATTAAGATGAGGGTGAAAGTATTACCCAAATGGGTGAAGGATGAGTGTAGAATAAGGAAGATTATCTGTGGAGCGTTGTTACCTATTGAATAAGATCCACTATTTCTTTAGCCATTTTAATTTTCTAAAAGCCCAAGGACAGCTGGGTCCAGTTTCAAACCATGAAAAAGCTTCTGATTTTATCTCAGGATTGAACTGGTCTTTAGATGACTAGTCGAGCACTATTATCACTATAAACTATTTTACTGAAATATTTTAAGTTTCTTGTGTCATTGTAGACTATTTCCATTCAGATTTAAGCCTGTTATCCCAACAAAAACATCAAAATTGCTTTATGTTAGACGTTAAATCTAACTTTATATGGATTTTATGTTAGGACTATTCACACCATATTTTGATTTTGGGATACTAAGCCTCACATCTATATGGACATTTAAAAAAAAGAACACAGTTAAGGAGCTACATTCAGGATGTGATACGATCCAAATTCTCTGTTTTCTTAAGTTTAATTACAGTGCAAACTTAAATGATTTTTTTTAATGAAACTTTTTAGTGATTTTGCAGAATGTCCAGTCCACAGAAAATTTGTCATTCATTTTAGGGATGGTCAAGTCTCGAAATTTCAGGAAATTTTCAGGAAATTTTAAATCTCGTTACACGAGACGAGATTTCTTTTTGGCCGAGATTTTTATCGAGACGAGAATAAAAAAAAAAAAAAAATTAAAAACTCCTGCAGAAAGTCAATGCAATACCCGCAATACAGGAGCGTGTTGTAGTTGCGTTTCCTTTGCGAAGGCGTTCTTATTTAATTAATTCTTCAAATGTAAATATTACTTTAATTATTTTAATTACATTTGAGAAGTTTTGTTAAGTGTTAGCAGTGTGAGGAATGTTTTATTACTATAAAAAAAGTCAAAACAAGTAAATATTTTATAAAAATTAATATTTTATTTTATGATTTATTTTATTTTAGGATAAGTTGAACTCTATCCTAACTGATTTAAACAATCATCTAACAATGTTACAAAAATCAGGTAAAAATTCCGAACGTGCATTTCCCGTTGTGTATGAGAAGGGTAATCCCGTCTCGATCTCGTCTCAAAATTTAATGAGAAATAAAAAATCTCGTCTCGTCTCGTCTCGAACTAAAAATCCAATCTCGTCCATCCCTAATTCATTTCCATGACTTTCCATGACAAACCATGACCATTTACTACCGATCATTGATTTCCATGTTTTGATTGATTTCCGGTACTCGAAAAGTATAATATAACAAAGACAAACAAATAATACTGCCTATACAAGTTATTTAGCAGAAAATACTGAAATATGTACTAACAAACAACAATGTACAATACAAACTCAAAACTCATAAACTAATACAACTGTAATAAATTGATTTGTCAAACGTTTGTGATAAATTGTGAAAAATGCTACAATAGTCGGGGTATAGCCGACTGGAGCATTGAATGTTCCCGTTCCCCTCAAATCCATCCGTCATTGGGGATTTCCATGACTTTCCTTGACCTTTTGCCTATTTCCATGACTTTCAATGGCCAGAATTTTTTCCATGACTATCCCTGACTTTCCAGAATGTGGACACCCTGTTTTGTAAGGTGACAAAGAAGATGCTATATTTTGCAATAAGTTTTTCTTTCCGTTTTACTTGGTACATCAACTCACCCTATCAGTGGCTATACTCAACTAAGTTCATTCTTATTGCAATACTGGCTACAATTTAGGTATGGAATGTCTCAATCTATAGCCAAAGGTTCTAATTACTAAGTATTGTGCAACCAAATCCAAAACTATATCATTCTAACTTTGACAACTCTTTTTACACAAAATGTTACTTCACTTTGAGACCACAGGCCTACTTACCGGGTGGCTCGTTATCATCAGGCAGTTCAATATCAGACTCCGGCGAGGGAGACGGAGCGTTCACGTCAGGCGATGGTATTGGACTCGGTAGCGTTGGTGTCACATCAAGCAATTTTTTCCTCAAGCCCTCCACCCGCTTAAGGAAGTTTCTGTATGCCTATAGTGGAAAGATTTGTTAAAATATTTTGTTCAGAGATCAGATTTTGTGAAGGAATATTCTTGAAAAAAATGTTAAATACATGTGTTAATAATGCATAATTCATTACATTAGATTACTAATTGAGATGGAGACGCTATCTAGGTGTGCATTTTAACCCAAATATGAGTGAAGCATGAGTGTAGAATGAGGTGAGGACCCTTGAGTAACTTTCTTACTGACTAAGACCAGCTGTTTCATTAGCCAGGATCATTTATTATGCCCAATGACATTTCCCAATCCATTCAGTTTCCCAATTCCCAATCCAGTTTCAAACCATCAAAAAGCTACTAACTTTTCTCAGGATCGAACCACAGACCTTCTGTTTTATGGATGAATACTATAACTCAACTACTTAGCAATCCAGCTATATGCCTACTAATCCTCAATCGTTACTCAATCCCTACTTAATCCTCAACTGTATACATTTGATTGAAATATCAATAGCTTTTTGATGGTTCAAGACTGGACCATGAAATTTAGGGAAGAAGGAATTGATATATAACTAACATACCTAAGAAAGAATTCAACTTAATTCTTCTAAAAAAATCTCTTCTGGGGTTGAAATATCAAGTTCATTGACCTACAAACTTTTTTTGCATTCACCCATCTTGGACTCTTTTCTTAGGCAAGTTAAGTACACCCATTCCTTCTTCCTTAATATCTATATAATCTAAATAAATACTCTTTAACTGTATGTTTTAACAATCGAGATTTTCAGAAGTTTCAAAACGTACTCACATTGCACACAATTCTAGCTTCCCCTCGTTGAGTATTGTAGAATGATTCACCTTGCTCCAAGGTTTCAATGAGAGATTTTCTTTCCTTTATTTCTGTTTTCAACGCAGAAATGAATGCAACCATTTTGTCAACCCCTTCTTCCAGCTCCTGTTCCAAATCAGCTCCATGTCTCCTATCTAAACAAAATGTTTAATAGTTTTTTTTTACAGATAACAGTTAAATTAAATAATTTAAATGTACGAGACATGGGGGACCTACACGAATGGCCCATTTTGATATGATTCACAACTCGTCTCCAAAGCATAACAAACATAGAAATTGATACCTTTCAAAGATTACTTTCTAGTAAAAAATTTTTTTAAGAAAAACATAATATGACAATAATACCCTCATTACAGCAAATCTGCGGACTAAGTGAATTCCCATTTCCCTTATTGGATTTTTACTCAAATATTTCCTGTAAAATATTAGATGTATTCCCTGTTTAGAACACATTAGGTTAAATAAATACTTAGGTTTGCTGCTATCACGAACACTAGAAAAATACCGGTATGGATCATAAACATTGAAACAAATGACGTTTTTGGTCCGTAAGTAAACAAAACCCCTATTCTAATAGCATTAATCTGGATTTGTATATATTCTTTCATATATATTATTCATATATATATTTTTATATATTAAACTTATTCTTTCAGGCCAAAATCGTTATTTGTTTATGTTTATGATCCATACCGGGTCTTTTCTTTCTAGTATTTGTGGCTGCTACAAAGAAAGTAATAAAGTGTATTATTTGGGGAAATTTTAATAGCTCAGAGTTACTGTAGGCAAACTTGTCAAATTTGATTCGAGGATATTTTACATCATATTTCCATGCGCAAACTACAACAGTTTACTTATTCTTCTCAACAAAACCATGGAAATTTTAAACTTAGACAGTTTTTTATTACTATCCCTAAAACCATTAGGCCTAAGCGTACAACGCTTAAATTTAGTAAATTATTTGTATCCCTATTTTATACCACCAATTTTGGGTAAAAATACACCTCAATCGTATAACGGGTCCTTAAGTAGGACAAGAAAAAGGGATGTTAAAGAGAAAACCATATTCAAACTATTAATAATTTTGAAACGATATAAGCGAACAATTCAATCTTTGTTTTTAAGTGCTAACTTGTAAGTATATAGATTGAATGAGGAATTTGCAGAAACCCAAATTTAGAGTGTTCCCCCGGATAAAGAACCTTGACATGGGGCATATTGTCGTATGAACTAGCAGTTTGGGGCCTGTACTTTACACGTTTTACACATCTGACTTTCCCAGCTGTGTAAATAATTGTACTGCATACTTGTATGCGGATGATTCCCAGTTGCACCTGTCTTATGAGCCTGCTTACATAAGAGAGGCCATCAATTAAGATCAACACTGATCTGGAGAACATCTCCAAATGGTCTTACATTAATGGGCGTAGGCTAAACCCAAACAAGTGCACTGTACTTCATACTGCCCCTGTGAACCTAGTACAGACACTGAGAGATAATGTCTGGAGCATCAATCTTGATGGCAGGAGTCTGGCGGTCTGTGACAAAGCCAAAACTATTGGCGTCATTATTGACAGAAATTTGAATTTTAAAGACCACATCAAACATGTCTCCCAACAAGCAATAGGAAGACTGAGAAGTCTGTATTGGTTCAGAGGTATGCTGCCTGAGGCTACAACGCTTCAACTCATGCAGTCACTTATATTGTCAGTAGTCTACTACTGCTTCCCTGCATATGGCATATCACTAAGGAAGACATGTGCAGAATACAGTGAATTCAAAGCTCAGCAATCCAATTTGTATTCTGCTTAAAAAAATTTGATCGTTTCCATTTTCCGTGAAGAAGCCGGTATGTTGCCCATGGAAGCCATGAGCAGGTTTTTTGACGTGCTGCATGACTCACAGGGTACTGACTCTCCGTGAGCCCGACTATCTTTGCAAGAGGATTTCTGTCCGGGATGAGATCATACAACGTAGGACATGTCATGGTGGGAGGCTTCACTTTCCAAGGGTCACCTTGGAAAGAAAAGTTTCTCATATTTTGGACCCACATTGTACAACAGACTACCCGAGAGCCTAAAAACTGTTGCACCTATCAAAAACTTTAAGATTAAGTTTAAAACGTTTTTAAAAAGATACAAATGTTTAGTTGAAGTACAATGGTGTAATGAAAAAAGTAGTTCTGAAAAACTGATATTAATCAGAGAAACCCTGGCTAATAAAGACATTTTTATTTTATTTATTTATTTAACAAGGAAATCAACAAGCTTCTTAGTTTAAAATAAATAAAGAAAGAAAGCTATCAGAATTGTTGTGATAAAAGTAGTGTGTATCTGCAGAAAAGAGTGTATTCACACTCAAATATATACGAAGTTTCTTGAACTAAAACAACTTAGCTTTTAGAAAAGCTATTTTGCTATTCCCCTTTATCATCTTTTAACTAAGCTTACCTTTCAAGAAAGATCGAAGTGAGTCTGCATCGTTCAGTGATAAATGGCTGTCATTTACGATTTTCCGCTTGGCGTCTGTATCTTCTTCCAAGGTTTTACAGGATTTTATTTTTCCAATTAAATGACTTGGCTGCAAACGTACAATTTTCACATAATTATGGATAAAAGTCTGCAATAATTCATCCAATAGGCTAAAAAAATTGAAGAGATCTACTGTATAATGAATACTTATGCTTTGAAACTTTAGATGATACTATTTGATTAAAATTTACCTGATTTTGAGATAAATAAATACATAAATATTAAGATATTTTAATTTGAAACCAACCTTTTCTAAGGGGTGTTTGCCTTTACGAAGAAATTTCTACAACTTTCCATCAAGTAGGTCTATGGTTTTGTACGCTTTCAACTAAATCAATGAGCAATCTCATAATATAAATACACAAATACAAATCATAGAAAACCTGTCACAAATTTAAAACTGGGGGGTGTGTTGCTAGCCAAATGGATACTGTCTCAGACCTCGGTGCAAGAGACGAGGTATGATAACGATTTAACCAGTAACTGTAACCATTTGAAATAATTCCACAAGTTTGGACTACTTTCCCTTGAAACCGTTTGGAATTTCGCCATACAATGTCCATGGACTACTAGAGTTAGTAAAACTAAAAAGTAACTGTTAGTAATTACCTGAAAGTCTACAGCATCGTCTTTTCCTTGAGCAGGTTGGCGACTACTGAGTAGCCCGGAAAGATCTGCCAGAAATGCTTCATCGTAAATTGATCTTTCATCCCAAATCTTAAACAACCTTAAGATTTTGTTTTTTACTTTGTCATCTCTGAAAAATCATACATCAACTTAAAGACAACTGTTTTAAAATGATTTTTCACTTCTGTAAAGTAGGTTGTTATGTAGGCCAATTATTTGATAAAGCTGTGTGTTTTATCAGTGTTTTTATCCTGAAAGAGGGGTATGTTATTAAATTTCGATATAAGCATAGTATAGGCTGAACTAAGCGTCTACATGGATCGGGGATTTAAAATATTGAAAAAGGCTTTAACACGTTTAAGTGCAGTTGCACGATGGCCGGCAGCAGCTGGTGGCTAATGTGTTGCGTGATTGAGAGCGTGAAAACGTTTAAATTTAGTTTAATCCAAATGAGAAAATATTGTAGCATGTACTACATTCCAGTCGTTGTGAACGTAGTTTTATGAACCCCACAGTTAGCGCCACTACACAAAACTGCTAGTAGGTCCTCAGTATTGCCAAATGGAGGGAAAAAGCAGGGGCGAAAAACCCGAATACGCCATCAAAAAACATTACAAAAAAAGGCGTCAAGCACAATTTTGAGGTTAGGTTCCTTCCCACAACGTTACACTAAAGTAATTATCGTTATTCTATTCAATTTCACTTAATCCAAGAAAAAACCCCACACTACACTAAATTTGGAAAAGTCCCCACCACCGATGATATTGTTGGATCTGAAAACAAATCATACTGGATTGAGGTATCAAACTGGCACAACAAGCGAAACAACGTTCTCCGTGCGAGACTGAGCTAATACTGAATCAATACTTTGGACTTAGGAATGCTACGTAGTTTAGCATAGTTCGCCGCGCACCAGTCCCACGCTATGTTTAGTATCATAGGCCGCACTCAATGTGTTAATAGTAGGCTAGGCCTACTCCTTTCCATTAATCCTGTAACATCATACTTATACAAATTAAAAACTACAGAAAGTTGTGTTTTGTTGGTGCTAAGATGCAGGTTATTGCTTCTCCAAAATCTCAAATTTCTTTAATTCTCCAGCAGTCACTAGTGATAGCTAATTTATTCCAGAGCATCAATATTTATCATGAAGAAGAGTGATACCAAAGAGCACATACCTGACCAATGTGGTCGCTTTCTGGAGAGCAGTGCCCCAGCTTTCAACAAAGTCGTAGCCTTTCCTCTTACTGTACTGTATAACATCATTTGCCAAATGAAACAGGGTCAGGCGCTGTTCTATTTTCACTACAACAAACAAACAAAAACTGTTTAATTCAGTCCCGTGTACATTTAATTAAATTTACTTCACCTATAGGTCTATGCTTGCATAGGTGATACTGAATAATATTCATAATACATGATTCAACAATAAAATTCTTAAGCCCTACAAAATTTTACACCCTGTAATCCAGCAGTTTTACCCCCTCCCCCAGGATTTCTCTGCGATTAGGCCTACTGTATAAAGTTTTAACTTGACCATGTTTCACAGACCCCTGATCTGGTGTTAACGTTTATTTACGACCCTGAAGGAAAAAATTGTCTAAGTTACCATTACAATTTGGATTATACAATGTAATGGGGGTTTACTTACAGACATTGAAAGCATAACATGTGTTTGAATACATGTGACACACCCATAATAACTTCGCCATAAATTCTTTAGAAAAAGTAGCCAATGTCTTGTAAAGTAGTAACTTAAGTTACATTATTTTATTTAAAAAATTCAATTTTTTTAACTTATATTATTGCTATTAGGTTGTTGGGTCGGTAGCCTCACTAGGATTGTGTATAAACCGTTAAAATTATTAACCACTATTCCCCGATAATTTGGCTTTTATCAAACGTGACACACTTTCAGTTCACACAACCTCGAGTTTGTGGGACTTCCACAACATTATTAAGGTGAATTAAGTTCCAGTTAAAGTTCGCCTACCTTTCTTCAGAGTTTGTAGCCAAATCGACACAATCTTCTTATGATTTGTTGGTCGGTCGAGACACCATTGAGAGAGAGCCGATATGCTCTCATGTGTATCCTTGAGGCCAACCAGCTTCTTTTCAAAAACTTCCTCGTCAAATGAAGCCATAATCGATGGTGGTGCAGGAGCAGAAACCTATCCCACACATAAACACATGATATGGTACGTATATAATAGTAGGTATAGGCCTAATATATACAGCAACATAATTAATGTAATTTACCTAGCAGCTTAGTTGGAAGGTAAGCTTTAATGGCAACATATTTTTAATGTGGGTACCGGTACCTCCAAAAGAACAAGATTCAACAAGCTAGCCAGGTTTTCTAAATAAATACAGTAAGTTAGTACTATTTAGGCTACAGTACTCAAGTTACTGATTGTTAAAAGAATTAGGTCACCACTGTTACGTTTATTGCTGGGATTCTGTTAAGTATTAATTAATGAACATTAACCTCTTTAAGTTAAAGAGGTTGAGTTATACAAGGGAGAAAATTTACAATTAGTCCAGGCCCGCTTTTATAAACGGACAGACTGGGCTTTATGCCCAGGGGCGCCGGAGGCTCATCAACCACCGCCCGCCCGCACTAGGAAATTTGGTTTTGATCAGCTGGGATTTCAAAAACTAAAGCTAGCCTATATAGGCTTATATATGTATAAAGGGGCGCTGCTTTTGGCTTTGCCCAGGGCTTCACTGACCCTTAACGTGGCCCTTAATTAGTCTGGACCTGTTTAAACCCTTGTCTTGTTCTTGTTGTTACTTTTATTAAGTTAAGTCAACCTGATGTAGGAAAACATTAATTTCATGTTTAAACGAAAAACGAGAAACAAGAAAACGAACACAGAGAAATCTGAGGTAGCCTATTTCTTTTGGACACCAACCAATCTTTACAATTAACAAATAGGCTAATAATACAACAATTAAGTTAGGCCTACACAAAACCCATCCCTAGATAATTCAACAACCTACAGTACCTATTATTACATACATGATCTTTCATAAACAAACGTATCTTGTTTGTTAGACGGAAACTGAAATGACAAACAGATGTTTGGTACAACAAAAAATATATTTATGAGATTAACTTATAAAATTTTACATTTCTAATTAGGGAATAAAACATAACAGCTAGTGTTTTGTAGATATCAATATGATTATTTTTGTGTTTTTAAAGAGGAATGTGTATGTTGTGAAACATTGAGCCAACCCCCCCCCCCTTCCCCAATATAACACAGCATAACGCTAGGCCTATGCCATACCCGTTCCTCCCAAGTGCATTACGTAATATGTGTATGGCCCCTTAGGCTACCGGTACATAAGTTAATGGGTATTTTATAGTTTGTTAAATGGGCTACCCTAATATCGATTGAAACTATCGAATTGAAAATATTGATTAAGTTAATAATCAATATTTTTAAATATATCTATCATAAATTAAAATTATCATAACCTAACCTAACCAACCATCCAACCAAACTTGCTGATGGTGAAAAAATCGCATGAAAGTTAACTAATCGAATCGATAAGTTAGTTTCAATCGATATTAGCGTAGCCCAGTTAAGAAACTGTATACCCAAGTTAACTTACTCAATAGTCTCAGCCTAGCCACTGACAATGCCACTTTACAGTGAGGGCAGAACATCTGTCAACAGTGAATTAGGCCTAGTGAAGGCACAGGGCACAGTTGACACCAAAAAACAACATTATGAACCAACTTATTAATTTATATTAGGGCCTAGGCCTACCTCCACACTGTTTTGGCACAAGTAAGTTTACCCTTAACTTATTTACTTAGCCTAACGTGTTTCACCCACAATTTTAATTGGCAAATATTTAGGTAGGGCCTACTGTACTTACACTGGGATAACTTATGATGTAATTTTTTTATGTCTAGTTACAGTATTTTTAACGCTGAATCCAAAAATGCAATCAGTTTTTGTCGGAGAGATTCCTAAGTGGCCGTAGTGGCTGTAAAACGAAGGTTAGGATTACAAATCTAAGGATGGGGTAATTGAGTGGTACTGATGTACCGGTAACTTAATTAATGGTAATATGGCGTGGTCTGGACGGGTCCATACTGAGTGAGGAGTGAGGACTGAGTGAGAAGAGCAAACAACTATATTTGATCTAATGCGGAATGAAATCAAATCAATTTGTTTTGAAACCAAATAGGCTAATGAGTTCTTATTTAGGCATGTGAGGAAGGTAGGTCGGGTTTTATGCGGATTTGTGACTGTATTAAGTGTTTTGAAGTGAGGTTAGATTAGGAAGGTACTTAAAGGCTAGATGTTATAATGATCCGACTCATTAATTTATGCAAAAACAGTCTGGAAGTTGCATAAATTAATGAGTCGGTTCATTTTAACCTAACCTTTAACTTAAGACCTAATCTAACCTCACTTTAAAGGACTTAATATAGTCACGAATCCGCATAAAGTCAGACCTATCTTCCTCACATGCCTTTTCTGACATAAAATGTGATTTAAACATTAATATTAAGGTTGGGTGGGTTGGGTTAGGTTAGATTAGATTATGTAACATCATTTATTAGTTGCTGATACATTAAATTATGCACTGTAGCACGTTTTCAATTTTAGACACAATGGGATTATGTACTATGAGATATGCACTATGGCACGTTCATTAACAGACGTTGGGGCATTAACTTAGTCAATGGTTGATGATTCGAATGAGGACGATGATCATGTCGGCAGTGGCCTAGCTTCTATTGCTGATATTTTACGTGAACAAATTCTATTTTGTTTTTAAATTTAAGTTCATGTGATTAATAGTTTATGTATTGTAGTTGATTTATTGTATTTTCTAAAAACAGTACCAAAGACCATTTTCTTTTAAAAATCTAAATAGTTACCCTATTGTATATTTTTGTTACCCTGATTTTGCTCTCATGGCGTCGTGTGTGGTTTTGTTTGTTTAGTATCAAATGTACCTACTTACAGCTGTTTCCACTCCACAAACCTTCCACCCCTTTTAGTGTTAGTCACCACTAGAACTTGGACTCGTCCACACCACAAATATGTTAAAAAAACAAAACTGAAGCTTAATATTAATTATTTAACCGTGCGGCCACTTAGGAATCTCTCCTACCAAAATTGATTGCATTTTTGGATTCAGCGCTAAAAATACTGTAAGTAGGCCTAGACATATCAAAATTACATCATATCCTAGTGACCTAATTAAAATCTAAGGTAGGCTAGGCTACATTAGATAACTTATCACTTACCTAGAGTAATAGCCTATCACATAGCCTATCTTAGTGTTTTTTTAATAGACCTACTAGTAATTAATTAGGCCAATCCTCACTGATTATTTTGTCATTATTAGGGTCGAATTTGGGAGCGTTGATATTTGCTGCCTTTTTGCTTTGCAATAATTAAGTTATTGCAGGAACCAAATAAGTGTCGATTAGCCTAGCCGACTTGATCACTAACATTCAACCTCAGGGTAGGTCTATTTAAGTCCCGATATAAACTAGGTCTGTCAAGTAACATTCACATGCACAATATCTCTTCGACATTAATAAAATAGCCCTACCAACCACAATAAAAGAACTAAAAACATTCAGATAATAATGAAAACAAGTCTTGTTTGCCAAACGCTATGCCGATTTAGTGATAAAACTAGTAACACACAACACTAGTAACTAAGGCAAGTTCACGACGTTCACGTTGGTTGATGTTGATGGAGGTTCCAGTCCAGTCAAGTCAGTTGAGTCAGTCAGTCCACTCACTCCACTCAGTCCCAGTTGACTGTCGAGGTCGAGCACGGCCACCTTAATGCCGGGGCGACTTTGACTTTAGGCACAGCCACCTCTGAGGTGGCTGTGATTTAGGCATATTGCCATTGGTAATATATTTCGCGTAATCATTTAGTCTATGCTAGTAGTCGCCTCGTGGTCGAAAACTCGACCAAAAATATGTACTGTGCCAGTTCCTCTATTTTCACACATACTGTTGATAAGACATGTGATTGGAATTTCTTCTATTTGTTTTGTTTTTCTGTATATGTTTCGTTATTTCATCACCAGCACCAGCTGACCAGCATATAAACCCATAAGGCCCATTCTAGCCCATGTTAAATTTGGTACATTTTAAATTAATTTGTTGTGCTTAGTTCTGAGCATATTAAGGAATCCTGCACTATTACAGGCTACAGGCAAATATCTTTCTAACAGTATGAGGAGATTTTCCCTGCGATGCACACGAGCTGAAAAAATATTTTTCAAGAAACATGCCTATACCTATTAATATATAGATAGCACAGGATTATAATTATTACCACCGGAGCTAGAAGTAGCACTTAACAGTGACGAAGTTTGCGTCGCTTACGCCCTTGAAATTTTAACGGTTTTACTATGGGACCTTTACTATCTTCTCTATGTCAGTAACCTGAAAACTACTTGACCAATTAATTGAGCTGATTGAGCTTTTTCCATTAGTAAAGCCATAGATAAAATATACTCCAGTAGTATTTGAATCCTATGTAGGTAATTGGATATCTAGGTACCCAACAAATTAACGCAAACGCGGTGCACCAACACTACCATAGATAAAACGTTGGTTAGTCTAAAATTCTATGATAATACATGTTGACAGAACCCGCCGAATGTTTCCAAATCGTATATGACGTCATGAAAATATCCCTATGTCACTCAGCCTATAACCATAGATTAAACATACTCCTCTTGAGGGGTAGTACCCCTCAAGAGGAGTATGTTTAATCTATGCTACAACTATTCCAGGTACGGTGATGGTGACAGTATATCTCTAGCCCTGGATGGTGACGGTGAATTTGGTGAAATTATTATTGTGTATGTTTTCTTCTTGTTCTTCCTTGTAAACTGCTCGACTGCTGCACATTTCCTGTTTAATCGGTCAATTTCTCTTGAGGTTATCTTGTAAGTATTGAGATATTATTATCCATTGTAATCCATTATATTCTTTAGGAACGTATGCATAAAGTTGGTTTAAAATGTAAACCCTGCCATGATTATACGTTTTGAATATTTAGATTTAGGTTGATGAGACCGAGTATAAAGTTCTGGTAGGTCTTTAAGTCCCTAGTCTTAGTCTAGGTTATTTTCAGTTGTAGGCCTAACTTAACACTTTTGGCATTAACTTTTACTCAAGGTGTTCTACCTTTATGTGTCCTAAATATGTATATAATTCTTAGCCTATCTGTACTTTCAAAAGCTACTTTGGAAATTTTTTGTTTGCATCCTGAGGTTAAAGTTGTACCTATATAACTCTAGAAATTAGGCGTAGGCCTACTAAGTCATCGACAGTTCTTGACAGGCTTAACCTTTCTTCAAATAAATCGAAAACAGCTTGGCAAATTATAAATGAACACAGGAATACAAAGAGATCACCAGGGCTTACTGTCAAGTGCATCAAAAATAAAGATGGCTCAACCGTAAGAGATTCAAAGTTGATTTCAGATCTGTTCAATGACTTCTTTATCAAGGTACACAACGTACACAATAAATCAGAAGCCAGAGTGTTTGTTGTTGATGGCCCCCAAATCAGACATTCCTCTTTTTTCCTTACTCCAGTTTCATCAACAGAAGTGGCCGACGTGATGAATCCTTAAAATCAAAGTCATCCTCAGGAGTCATCAACATCTCTTCAAAACTTCTTAAATCGTGTTCCCATCTTTTTCTTTGCCCTCTTGTTCATCTTATTTAAGTAATTATTCTTTTGAAAATGGGGAGTTTCCCGACTTCTTGAAACATTCAACAGTAAAACTGTTAGGCCTACAAAAAAAGAGGGGAAAATGGACGAACTTGATGATTTCAGACCAATTTCTATCATGTCAACCTTTTCTAAGGTTTTTGAGAAGGCTGTGTTGATCACATTGTGGTCTTTTATCCTTCAAAATGACACTTTGTTTTCAAATCTGTTTGGTTTCATCAAGAATAAATCCACGGTTGATGCAATGTTTGCTTTAACCAACAGAATGTTGAATCCTTGGATAAAGGAGAATCAGCTGCAGGCATTTTCTTTGATCTTTGGAAGGCTTTTGACATGGTTTCTCATGAAATGCTTCTAGAAAAACTCGAAGAGATTGGTGATAGAGGGATAGCCAACAAATGGTTTCGCAGCTCCTTTCTAGATGGACGTCGTCAGAACGTTGAATTCTCGATAGAAAAATGTGGGATATTGACGAAATGTAGCTCTAATGTGAAATTGGTAAAGACAGGTGTACCCCAGGGTTCAATTTTAGGGCCCCTATTATTCATCATATTCATAAATGATATTCTAAAAAGCGTGTCTGATGCTGAGATATTTTTGTTTGCTGATGATACATCATTGTTTGTTAGGGATAAATGTCGGAAAAACTTAAAGAGATTAAAGCGTTTCTTGAGCCAAATGCCGTTCTTCAATGGTTTTTAGACAACAATCCAATTGAAAATGCAAAAAAGACTAGTTTAACTTAGTTGATTTTAGGATTTCATCTCACCTTTCTGAGGAAATCAGTTTGCATGTAGATAACGTGGTGGTAGAGTCCAATCGTTATGTCAAATTTCTAGGCATTTCTATTGATAGGAATCTGAACTATTTCTCTCATACTGATTGTGTGACTGCGAAGTTATGATCTTCACTAGCCTATTTGTTCTTTGCAGACTTTCAAAATTTACGAGCAGAGATGTTTTGCTAACTGTATATTTTGCCCTCATATATCCAAATTTGTCCTAAGCCTATGCCGTTGGCATTTGGGGTTCCTGAAAACGTCCACACCAAACAAATCTTAAGGATGCAGAAGAAAGCTATCAGAGTCTTGGGTCATCTCAAGCCAAAACAATCATGCAAGCGCTTTTTTCCCGAAAAAGGTCTTCTCACTTTTCCGTGTATTTACATTTTTCATACACTGCTTTTTCTTAAGAAAAACTCTGAACTTTATCAGCATCTCATACCAAATTCAATATACAAAACAATATCTACTAAGAACATCCCCAGACACAAAACTTCTTTTTAAAAAAATCATATGTTTTACAATTCTGTCATTTTATTAATGCCCTCCCAAATGCTCTCAGGAGTGAAATGGACTTTGGTAAATTTAAGAGACAGCAATTTGTAATTGTTTTTTATAGTATTAAGGACTTTATTTGTTAGTGTAAACAATGCAACAATGTTTATTTTGTTTACCATTTGATTGTGACGTTTGCCTGTATTTGAGTTTAACGGCAATCAAAATCATTTCAGAACGGAACGGTAATTTTTTTTAGGTTGCACTTTAGTTTACGTCCTACATTTACCATTAACTACTCCCCAGCTGATTATAATGGAACTGTTCTAAACTAAACCTGACATTAATCAAACTGCAGTATGTGAGTAAGTTAAATGTAGGACGTAAACTTAAGTGCAGCCGTTTAAGTTACCTCTAAAATACTCTCGTATAGCTGAGGCAGATTAGTCTGATTCAATCATTTATTCTTAACCATCAAGATTAACTTAGGCCTAAATTATTGTAACTTGATACAATTAGCTATAGGCTAATACTAATTCAACTGAATGTAGAAGCTGTTCATATTATGTAAATTATAAAAAAGAGTGCATACAAATTGTTAAATATACTCTTCACCATAATAGTAAAACATTGAGTTGACGGCATTTGCACTAAAACGTCACCAACACAAAACACTCATCAACCCTTGTATATTCATAACAATATTTGTATATATTATAACAATAACTTATACAATGTTTAATTGCATTACTTAAAGTCAATGCTAAAACTACTCGTTAAAATACAGTAATAAGTTAGCATATCTTTGGATAAACGTCATTTAGACATTTGATAAATTTAAAACAGTTGATTGAAAATGTTTGTTTAAATTCTTATTTACCGGTACTTCAAATAAAATATAATATTTTATAATATTTATTTCAATACTAAGTAGGTATATTAAAGTTTTTTGAAAAATAAATTGTCATAGTAGGCCTACTTAGGGGTTAAGTTTTGGTGGCAGACAGCTAAAGTAAAATAGGCTAATCATTATTTGATCATACCTATTTTTGGTACTTTCCTTTTAAAGGGAACATTCATTATTATCGATGATTTCTTGTCGATATATTGATATTTTATTTTTATATTCGATATATTGATATTAACAAACTGAAACTTATCTTATCAGCTGACAACTACGATAAATAAATATTGTTCCGTATCAACAAACAATAAAAAAATTTGTATTGAAATGAAACTGTTCTAAACTAACCAAACTTGCTGTAGGCTAAGTTACCGTTTCAAAATTCCGTTTGATAGCCTATTCCTCATATGTCTTTTCTGTTATCAAACGGAATTTTGAAACGGTAACTTAGCCTACAGCAAGTTTGGTTAGTTAACACGTTCGCTTCTGACCGCTAGATGCCGGGACGGCGCCAGGAGCTGAACTAATGCTCGCCGCTGCGTAACATTGCCACCAATACACTGAATTACAGTAAAAACAACAGTAGTTATACTGTATGGCAATGTTCTGCAATAAAAGGCTTTGGACATAGTAGGCCTACTAAGTGATTCTGATAGATCAGGAAAGAGGTGGGACAAAGCCTTGTTCTAAACGACTCTGGTGGTGATTTTGAGAAACTATCATTTTTTTATCGT